TTAGGATTTGTCCTAATAAGAATTAGGATTTGTCCATTAAGAATTAGGATTGTCCATTAAGAATTAGGATTTGTCCATTAAGAATTAGGATTTGTCCCAATAAGAATTAGGATTTGTCCATTAACGATTAGGATTGTCCTAATAAGAATTAGGATTTGTCCTATTAAGAATTAGGATTTGTCCTAATTAAGAATTAGGATTTGTCCTAATAAGAATTAGGATTTGTCCATTAAGAATTAGGATTTGTCCATTAAGAATTAGGATTGTCCTAATAAGAATTAGGATTTGCCCATTAAGAATTAGGATTTGTCCTAATAAGAATTAGGATTTGTCCAATAAGAATTAGGATTTGTCCATTAAGAATTAGGATTTGTCCTAATAAGAATTAGGATTTGTCCATTAAGAATTAGGATTTGTCTAATAAGAATTAGGATTTGTCCATTAAGAATTAGGATTTGTCCATTAAGAATTAGGATTTGTCCATTAAGAATTAGGATTGTCCTAATAAGAATTAGGATTTGTCCATTGAGAATTAGGATTTGTCCATTAAGAATTAGGATTGTCCTAATAAGAATTAGGATTTGTCCTAATAAGAATTAGGATTTGTCCATTAAGAATTAGGATTTGTCCTAATAAGAATTAGGATTTGTCCATTAAGAATTAGGATTGTCCTAATAAGAATTAGGATTTGTCCTAATAAGAATTAGGATTTGTCCATTAACAATTAGGATTTGTCCTAATAAGAATTAGGATTTGTCCATTAAGAATTAGGATTGTCCATTAAGAATTAGATTTGTCCATTAAGAATTAGGATTCTCCATTAAGAATTAGGATTTGTCCATTAAGAATTAGGATTCTCCTAATAAGAATTAGGATTTGTCCATTAAGAATTAGGATTCTCCTAATAAGAATTAGGATTTGTCCATTAACAATTAGGATTTGTCCATTAAGAATTAGGATTTGTCCATTAACAATTAGGATTGTCCTAATAAGAATTAGGATTTGTCCATTAAGAATTAGGATTTGTCCATTAACAATTAGGATTGTCTATTAAGAATTAGGATTTGCCCATTAAGAATTAGGATTTGTCCTAATAAGAATTAGGATTTGATCCAAGAAACACGCTTAGTTGGGACTTTTAATTTCTATTTAATTTCTATTTTACCAGATGTATTTCTATTTTAGCCGATCAGAGTTCGGGAAAAGGGATTTTATCGCTGCAGAGCGCATAAATACGCGAATTTTCTGGCGCTGATCTCCCTCAGAGCGTGTTTTTTGTGGTGTTTTGGTGACGCCTCGTGGGTTTGGGTGTCGATTCAGGTTTAATGTGAAAGCCGAATATTCTGCGGTCTGAGGGTGACACCTTGTGGGTTTGCGAGATAAAACGTTTTTAGCTGCGAGCTTCGCAGATTTTGGGAGGGTTCCATCGGGAATTTGGGTTTAAATTTGAAGAGTGGGTGTTATCTGGCAATAAAATAGTTGTAATTGTTAATGTATTACAGATTTAAGGGTTTATTTTCATAAAGGGAGTTAAAATGAGAGTGTCCCCACGACCCAGAGTGTCCCCTCGGGGGATTTTGGGTGTCTCCTCCCAGTTCAGGGTGTCCCAGTCCCAGTTTAGGGTGTCCCAATCCCATTTTGGGATCTCCCAGTCCCACTTTAGGGTGTCCCAGTCCCAGTTCGGGATGTCCCAGTCCCAGTTCGGGGTGTCCCAGTCCCAGTTTGGGGTGTCCCAATCCCATTTTGGGATCTCCCAGTCCCACTTTAGGGTGTCCCAGTCCCAGTTTGGGGTCTCCCTCTCCCAGTTCGGGGTGTCCCAATCCCAGTTCATGATCTCTCAGTCCTAGTTTGGGATGTCTCATTCCAGTTTGGGATATCCCAATCCCAATTTGGGGTGCCCCAGTCCCAGTTTGAGATGTCCCATTCCAGTTCGGGGTGTTCCAGTTCCAGTTTAGGGTGTCCCAGTCCCAGTTCGGGCTGTCCCATTCCAGTTCGGGGTGTCCCAATCCCAGGTCGGGGTGTTCCTTCCCAGTTTGGGGTGTCCCAGTCCCAGTTCGGGATGTCCCAGTCCCAGTTTGGGGTGTCCCTCTCCCAGTTTGGGATGTCCCAGTCTCAGTTTGGGGTCTCCCTGTCCCAGTTTGGGGTGTCCCAGTCCCAGTTTGGGGTGTCCCAGTCCCAGTTTGGGGTGTCCCAGTCCCAGTTTGGGGTGTCCCATTCCAGTTTGGGTTGTCCCAGTCCCAGTTTGGGGTGTCCCAGTCCCAGTTTGGGGAGTCCCAATCCCATTTTGGGATCTCCCAGTCCCAGTTTGGGGTGTCCCAGTCCCAGTTTGGGGTGTCCCATTCCAGTTCGGGATATCCCAGTCCCAGTTTGGGGTGTCCCAGTCCCAGTTTGGGGTGTCCTGGTCCCAGTTTGGGGTATCCCAGTCCCAGTTTGGGGTGTCCCTTCCCAGTTCAGGGTGTCCCAGTCCCAGTTTGAGGTGTCCCACTCCCAGTTTGGGGTCTCCCTCTCCCAGTTCGGGGTGTCCCAGTCCCAGTTTTGGGTGTCCCAGTCCCAGTTTGGGGTGTCCCAGTCCCAGTTCGGGGTGTCCCAGTCCCAGTTCAGGGTGTCACAGTCTCACTTCAGGGTGTTCCAGTCCCAGTTTGGGGTGTCCCACTCCCAGTTTGGGGTGTCCCAATCCCAGTTTGGGGTGTCCCAGTCCCACTTCAGGGTGTCCCATTCCAGTTTGGATTATCCCAGTTCCAGTTTGGGGTGTTCCTTCCCAGTTCAGGCTGTCCCATTCCAGTTTGGGGTCTCCCTGTCCCAGTTTGGGATGTCCCAGTCCCAGTTCAGGGTCTCTCAGTCCCAGTTTGAGGTGTCCCTTCCCAGTTTGGGATCTCCCAGTCCCACTTTAGGGTGTCCCAGTCCCAGTTTGGGGTCTCCCTCTCCCAGTTCATGGTGTTTCAGTCCCAGTTTGAGGGTCCCAGTCCCAGTTAGGGTTAGGGTTAGGATTAGGTTTAGGGTTTAAGGTTAATTTTAGGTTTAGAGGTTTTTTTATAAGTTTAGGACGAGGGTTCAGGATGGACAAAGATATCCAAAGTGTCCCCTGGGGGTGTCCCCATGACCCAGAGTGTCCCCTGGGGGGATTTTGGGTGTCTCCTCCCAGTTCAGGGTGCCCCAGTCCCAGTTTGGGGTGCCCCAGTCCCAGTTTGGATGTCCCATTCCAGTTTGGGGTCTCCCTGTCCCAGTTTGGGGTGTCCCAGTCCCAGTTTGGGGTGTCCCAGTCCCAGTTCGGGATGTCCCAGTCCCACTTTAGGGTGTCCCACTCCCAGTTTGGGGTCTCCCTCTCCCAGTTTGGGGTGTCCCAGTCTCCCTTTGGTGTGTCACATTCCAGTTCGGGATATCCCAGTCCCAGTTTGGGGTGTCCCAGTCCCAGTTTGGGGTGTCCCGTTCCAGTTTGGATTATCCCAGTTCCAGTTTGGGGTGTTCCTTCCCAGTTCAGGCTGTCCCATTCCAGTTTGGGGTCTCCCTGTCCCAGTTCAGGTTTGTCCCAGTCCCAATTTGGGGATCCCAGTTCCAGTTTGGAATGTCCCATTCCAGTTCGGGATATCCCACTCCCAGTTTGGGGTGTCCCAGTCCCAGTTCAGGGTGTCCCAGTCCCAGTTTGTGATGTCCCAGTCCCAGTTTGGGGTGTCCTGGTCCCAGTTTGGGGTGTCCTGGTCCCAGTTTGGGGTGTCCCAATCCCAGTTTGGGGTGTCACTTCCCAGTTCAGGGTGTCCCAGTCTCACTTTGGGGTATCCCAGTCCCAGTTTGGGGGGTCTTGGTCCCAGTTCAGCATGTCCCATTCCCAGTTCGGGGTGTCCCAGTCCCAATTTGGGGTGTCCCTTCCCAGTTCGGGGTGTCCCAGTCCCAGTTCGGGGTGTCCCAGTCCCAGCTTGGGGTGTCCTAATCCCAGTTTGGGGTGTCCCAGTCCCAGTTCATGATCTCCCAGTCCCAGTTTGGGATGTCCCATACCAGTTTGGGATGTCTCCTCCCATTTTGGGGGCTCCCAGTCCCAGTTCGGGGTGTCCCTGTCCCAGTTCGGGGTGTCCCAGTCCCAGTTTGGGGTGTCCCAGTCCCAGTTTGGGGTCTCCCCTCCCCGCCCTCCCCTTTTCCCGTCCTCCCTCCTTCCCCGCTCTCCTCCCTCCCCCTCCCTCCCTCTCCCTCTCTCTCCCCTCCCCCTTCGGGCGCGGTCAGAGCGTCCCAGGAAAAACTTTTCCTCCTCCGTCATCCCGGGATCTTCATCGCCCCCCTCCTCCTCCTCCTCCGTCATCCCCGGGGACTTCATCGCCCCCTCCTCCTCCTCCTCCTCCTCCTCCGTCATCCCAGGATCTTCATCCCCCCTCCTCCTCCTCCTCCTCCTCCCGCTATCCCGGGAAAAACTTTTCATCATCCCGGGCCTTCATCCACCCGTCATCCCAGGACCTTCCTCCTCCCCGCCGTTGCCCAGGATCTTCATCCTCCTCCTCCTCCTCTCTTCGTCATCCCAGGACTTTCCTCCTCCCCGCCGTTACCCCAGGATCTTCATCCCCCCCGCCCTCCTCCTCCTCCTCCTCCTCCGCTATCCCAGGAAAAACTTTTCCTCCTCCGTCATCCCGGGATCTTCATCCCCCCCCGTCCTATTCCTCCCCCTCATCCCGGGACCTTCCTTCTCCTCCTCCTCCTCCTCCTCCTCCTTCCCGGGACTTTTATCCCCTTCCTCCGTCACCCCGGGGCCTTCATCCACCCACCCCCGTCGTCCTCCTCCTCCTCCTCCTCCTCCGTCATCCCGGGATCTTCCTCCCCCTTGTCCCCGTCATCCTTGGACCTTCCTCCTCCTCCGTCATCCCGGGACTTTCCTCCTCCTCCTCCTCCTCCTCCTCCCGGCCGTTACCCCGGGACCTTCATCCCTCCCCCTTCTCTCCTCCTCCTCCTCCTCCTCTCCCCGTTGCCCCGGGAGGGTCCCCGGAGGGTCCCGGGGGGGTCCCGGGGGAGTTGGGAGGCCCATGGAGGAGTCCCGGGGGCCCCCGGCGCTGCTGGTGCTGCTCGCGGCCATCGCCGCCCTGGGCGCGACCCCCGCCCCGGCCGCGACCCCCGCCCCGCCCGGTCAGTGAGGGGGGACGGGCTTTGGGGGTCCCGACTTTGGGGGTGGGGGGTCCCCGGGGATGGAGGGTCTCGGGTTTGGGGGTCGCGGTAAGTTGGGGGTCCTGGAACGAGGGGATCTCGGGTTTGGGGGTCCAGAGTTGGGGGGGTCCCTGAGGGATGGAGGGTCTCGAGGTTTGGGGGTCCCGAGTTTGGGGGGTTGTCCCGGGGATGGAGGGTCTCGGTTTTGGGGGTCCCGAGTTGGAGGGGAGTCCCCGAGGATGGAGGGTCTCGGTTTTAAGGGGGTCCCGAGTTTGGGGGTTGGGGGGTCCCAGGGATGGAGGGTCTCTCGGTTTTGGGGGTCTCTCGAGTTTGGGGTCGCGCTTTGGGGGTCCCGAGTTAGGAGGGGGTCCCAGGGATGGAGGGTCTCAGGTTTGGGGGTCCCGAGTTTGGGGTCATGATTTGTGGGGGTCTCAGTGAGGTGGGGGTCCCAGGGATGGAGGGTCTCGGTTTTAGGGGTCCCGAGTTGGAGGAGGGTGTCCCGGGGGTGGGAGGGTCTCGGTTTTGGGGGGTTCCAGGCTTGGGGTCCTCGGTTGTGGGGGGTCTCGGTGAGGTGGGGGGGTCCCAGGGATGGGAGGTCCCGATTTCAGGGGTCTCGGTGAGTTGGGGGTCCCGAGTTGGGGGGGAGCTGCTGAGTTTGGGGGTCTCAGTTTTGGGGGCAGGGGGCCGGTTTTGGGGAGTTCCAGGAGTTGGGAGTCCCGGTGACTTTGGGGGTCCCAACTTTGGGGGGTCCCAATTTTGGAGGGTCCCGGTTGGGGATGGGGGTCCCATTTACCGGGGGATGTCCCAGTGATTTGGAGGGGTCCCAATTTTGGGGGTCCCGGTTGGGGATGGGGGTTCCCATTTACCGGGTGTCCCAGTGATTTGGAGGGGGGTCCCAATTTTGGGGGGTCCCGGTTGGGGATGGGGGTTCCCATTTACCAGGGGGTGTCCCAGTGATTTGGAGAGGGGTCCCAATTTTGGGGGGTCCTGGTTGGGGATGGGGGTTCCCCATTTGCCAGGAGTGTCCCAGTGATTTGGAGAGAGGGTCCCAATTTTAGGGGTCCCAATTTTGGGGGTGTCCCCGATTTGGGGTGGGGGTCCCAGCCGAGTGTCCTTTCTGGGGGATCCGGGAGAATGTCCCTCATTCCCCCCTCCACCCAGCAGGCGCCCCGGGAGATGGGTGGGGGTCCAACCCCTCCCACCCCACCAACATCTGCGCGGGTTTGGGCGTGGGGGGAGGAGGGGGGCCGCGTGTCTCCCAGGACCCCGTGTCGTGTGTCCCCCTTCCCACTCGGCGGATTCCCGGCATTCCTGAGGCTCCCAGGGAAAGGGGGCGTGGGAAGGAAGTGGGAGTCGCGGCCCCAAAATCCCTCAGGTCCCTCCCCACCCTAAAACCTCCGCGGGGGAAGGGAGGGGCGCGATGTGACCACGCCCACTCGCGATTTTGGGGAGGGTTGGGGTCCCAGAGTGGGTCCTGAGGATTTTGGGGGTCCTGGGGTCACTGGGGGTCTCGAGGCTTGAGGGTCTGGGGTCACTGGGGGTCTCGAGGGTGGGGTCCTGGGGGCTGTGGGGTCCTGGAGGATTTTGGGGGTCCTGGGGGTCACTGGAGGGTCCCGAGGGGTCTTTGGGAGGTTCTGGGGGCTGGGGGGGTCCTGGAGGGTTTTGGGGTCCTGGGGGTGACTGGGGGTCTCGAGGGTCTTTAGGGGTCCTGGGGGCTGTGGGGGTCCTGGAGGGTTTTGGGGGTCCTGGAGGGTTTTGGGGACCCTGGGGGTCACTGGGGGGGGTCATGGAGGGCTTTGGGGAGGTCCTGGGGGGTCACTGGAGGAGTCCTGGAGGGTGTTGGGGGACTGTGGGGGGGGATCCCAGGTGGTCTTGGGGGGTCAGTGGGAGGTCCTGGAGGGTTTTGGGAGTCCTGGGGGGCTGTGGAGCAACCTGGGAACATGAGTGGGGCCTTGGGGGGTTCTCAGGGGCCGTGGAGGGGGTCCCTGATGATGTTGGGGTGTCCCAGGGGTCTCTGGGATGGTCCCTGACCCCCCCGTGTCCCCCCCAGGTCTGTCGTTCCTGGAGCAGCCCCAGAACACGAGTGGGGCCGTGGGGAGTTTCAGGGGTAGTGGGGGGGTCCCTGAGGGTGTTTGGGGTCCCTGAGGGTGTTTGGGGGTCCCTGTGCTGATCCCTGACCCCCCCACCGTGTCCCCCCAGGTCTGTCGTTCCTGGAGCAGCCCCAGAACACGAGTGGGGCCGTGGGGGGGTCCCTGATGATTTTGAGGATGTTTTGGGGGTCCCTGTGCTGATCTCTGTGTCCCCCCCGTGTCCCCCCCAGGTCTGTCGTTCCTGGAGCAGCCCCAGAACACGAGTGGGGCCGTGGGGGGGTCCCTGATGATTTTGAGGATGTTTTGGGGGTCTCTGGGATGGTCTCTGACCCCCCCCATGTCCCCCCCAGGTCTGTCGTTCCTGGAGCAGCCCCAGAACACGAGTGGGGCCGTGGGGGGCCCGGTGTGGCTGCGGTGCCGCGTGGGGGGGTCTGGGGAGCCCCCCGAGCTGGGCTGGCTCCGTGACGGGGCCGCCCTCGAGGCCGACACCGACCTGGCCCAGCTGGCCCTGCCCGGGGGGCTCTGGGTGGCCACCAGCAGCCTCAGGTGACAACCGGGGCACCTCCTGCCACCTGGGTCACCTCCTGTCACCCTGTGTGTCACCTGTGTCACCCTGTGTCACCTGGGTCACCTCCTGTCACACTGTGTCACCCCCCACGGCACCCTGGGATGTCCTGGGTCATCACCCCCCCCCGTGTCACCCTGTGTCACCCCGGGGTGTCCTGGGTCACCTCGTGTCACCCTGTGTCACCTGTGTCACCCTGTGTCACCCACCCTGTCATGCTGTGTCATCCTGGGTCCCTGTGTCACCTCATGTCACCCTGTGTCATCTGTGTCACCTGTGTCACCTGGGTCACCCCTCGTGTCACCCTGTGTCACCCCGTGTCACCCTGTGTCACTTGTGTCACCCCGTGTCCTCCTGGGTCACCCTGTGTCACCTCATGCCACCCCTCGTCACCTGTGTCACCTGTGCCATGTCATCTCACGTCATTCCTTGTCACCCATGTCACCCCCTGTCACCTGTGTCACCCCCTGTCACCCCCTGTCACCCCCTGTCACCCCCTGTCACTGCATGTCACCTGTGTCGCCTCCTGTCACCCTGTGCCACCCTTGTCACCCTGTCACCCCCTGTCACCCCCGTCACCCCCTGTCACCGCATGTCACTCGTGTCACCCTGTGTCACCCTTTGTCACCTGTGTCATCTCCTGTCACCCTGTCACCCGTGTCACCCTGTCACCCCATGTCACCCTTTGTCACCTGTGTCACCCCCTGTCACCCTGTGCCACCTGTGTCACCCTGTCACCCCCTGTCACCCCCGTCACCTGTGTCACCCTGTGACCCTGTCACCTGTGTCACCTCCTGTCATCTGTGTCAGCCCGTGTCACCCATGTCACCCCCTGTCACCCCCTGTCACCCGTGTCACCCCCTGTCACCTGTGTCACCTCCTGTCACCCTGTGCCACCCTTGTCACCCTGTCACCCCCTGTCACCCCCTGTCACCTGTGTCACCCTGTGACCCTGTCACCCATGTCACCACATGTCACCGTCACCCTGTGACCCTGTCACCCCCTGTCACCCCGTGTCACCCTGTCCCCAAAGTCACCCTGTGTCACCCCCGTCACCTATGTCACCCTGTGACCCTGTCACCCGTGTCACCGTCACCCGTGTCACCCCCTGTCACCCCGTGTCACCTGTGTCCTGCCGCCGTGTGTCCCAGTGCCGTGACCCCCTACACCCCCATGTCCCCTGACCCCCCCATGTCCCCCATGTCCCCTGACCCCCTTGTGCCTCCCCGACCCCCCAACCCCCTGTGTCCCCCATATCCCCTGACTCCTCTGACCCCCTGTTGCCCCTTCATGTCCCCACATGTCCCCTGACACCCCTGACCCCCCTGTGTCCCCCATATCTCCTGACCCCCTGGTGCCCCCTGACCCCCCTGGCTGCCTCCCTGACTCCCCATGTCCCCCCTATGTCCCCTGACCCCCTGACCTCCCTGTGTCCCCCATGTCCCCTGACCCCCTGACCCCCTGTGTCCCCCATGTCCCCTGACCCCTGACCCCCCTGTGTCCCCCATGTCCCCCCATATCCCCCATGTCCCTGACCCCCTGTAGTCCCCCCATGTCCCCTCAGCCCCTGACCCTCCTGACCCCCCTGTGCCCCCTGACCCCCCAGTGCCTCCTGACCCCCTGTGCCCCCAGGCTGTCACAGATGCAGCCCCTGACCCCCCATGTCCCCCATATCCCCTGACTCCTCCTGAGTGCCCCCTGACCCCCAGTGCCCCCAGGCTGTCGCAGGCGCAGCCCCCGACCCCCATGTCCCCCCATGTCCCCTGACCCTGACCCCCAAAACCTCCCTAACCCCCTGTGCCCCTAGGCTGTCCCAGGCGCAGCCCCCGACGCGGGCCGGTACCGCTGCTGGGCAGGGCGGGGTCTCTCATCGTGTCCCACGAGGCCCACCTGGAGCTGGCAGGTAAAAGGAGGAAACCCCCAACCCCCGACCCCAGGAACCCCCAATCCCATCCTCAGACCCCCACTAAAACCTGAGACCCCTCCTCAAAACTTTACCCCCCAACCCCCTTTCACTGGGACCACACCCCTCCCCGATCCCCGACCCCTCCCCTCATTTAGGACCCCCTCGACCCCAGGACCCCCAATCTCATCCTCAGACCCCCAAAAACCTGAGACCCCTCCTCAACACTTTACCCCCAAGCCCCCTCTCCAGAGGACCCCGACCACCGGGGACCCTCCCGGGACCCTCCCGGGATCCTCGACCCTCCCCCTCCCTTCGGACCCCTCCCCTCTCCTTTGGGACCCCCTCGACCCCAGGACTCCCCGACCCCATCCTCAGACCCCCCAAACCCTGAGACCTCTCCCCAAAACTTCACCCCCAAATCTCCTTCCTGGGACCTCCCCCTCCCACCCTGATCCCTGGGGACCCTCCTGGGACCATCCCGGGACCCCCGACCCTCCCACAGCCCCCTCCCTTGGGACCCCCTCCTGCAACCCCCAGACCCCCTGGGACACCCCAGAACCCCAGAAACCCCTGATACTCCCCCAAGACCCCACAGTCTCCCTCCAGGACCCCCTAATCCACCCTCCGGACTCCCTGGCCCCCAGTGTCCCTCCAGGATCCCCAATCCCCCTCAGGACCCCTCACTGATCCCCCAGTGCCCCCTCCAGTACCCCCAATCCCCCAGGCCCCTGGCCCCCAGTCCCCGTGTTCGTGGAGGAGCCTCAAAACGTGGAGCTGGGGGTCCCTCCCCCAGAACCCCCGATTTCCCCCAGAACCTCCTGATATCTCCCCTCAGGACCCCCAAATCACCCCCAAATTCCCCCAGGGCTCCCCGTGTTCGTGGAGGAGCCCCAGGACGTGGAGCTGGGGGTGTCCCTCCCCAGAACCCCCAGAACCCCCGATATCCCCCAGAACCCCTGATATCCCCCAGAACCTCCCGATATCTCCCCAAGGACCCCTCTGACCCTCCCAAACCCTCCCCCAGGGCTCCCCGTGTTCGTGGAGGAGCCCCAGGACGTGGAGCTGGGGTGTCCATCCCCCAGGACCCCCAATATCCCCTGATATCCCCCAATAACCCCCAAATCCCCCAGGCCTGCCCGTGTTCGTGGAGGAGCCCCAGGACGTGGAGCTGGGGTGTCCATCCCAGGACCCCCAATATCCCTGATATCTCCCCAATAACCCCCCAAATCCCCCAGGCCTGCCCGTGTTCGTGGAGGAGCCCCAGGACGTGGAGCTGGGGGCGTCCATCCCCCAGAACCCCCTGATATCCCCCAAATCACCCTGATATCCCTGATATCCCCCAAATCCTCCTAGGCCTCCCCGTGTTCGTGGAGGAGCCCCAGGACGTGGAGCTGGGGTGGTCCATCCCAGAACCCCCGATATCCCCCAGAACCCCCGATATCCCCAGAACCCCCGATATCCCCCAAATCACCCCCAAATCCCCCAGGGCTGCCCGTGTTCGTGGAGGAGCCCCAGGACGTGGAGCTGGGGGTGTCCATCCCAGAACCCCCGATATCCCCAGGACCCTCCGATATCCCCTGATATCCCCAAATCTCCCAGGGCTCCCGTGTTCGTGGAGGAGCCTCAGGACATGGAGCTGGGGTGTCCATCCCCAGAACCCCCGATATCCCCCAGAACCCCCGATATCCCCCAGAACCCCCGATATCCCCCAAATCACCCCCAAATCCCCCAGGGCTCCCGTGTTCGTGGAGGAGCCCCAGGACGTGGAACTGGGGTGTCCATCCCAGAACCCCCGATATCTCTGATATCCCCCAAATCACCCCGATATCCCTGATATCCCCCAAATCCCCCCCCAGGGCTCCCCGTGTTCGTGGAGGAGCCCCAGGACGTGGAGCTGGGGGTGTCCACGCCGTTCTCGCTGCGCTGCAGCGCCCGCGGCCCCCGAGCCGGTTCGGCTGCTGTGGCTGCGCGAGGGGACCCCCTGCACGACCCCGGGACCCCCTGGCCAGGAGCCCCTCCGTGCTCAGCCTGCCTGGTCAGCACCGGGGGAGGGGGAATTGGGGGTTGAGGAGCTTGAGGGGTTTTGAAGGAGATTTGGGGAGGTTTAGGGGTGTTTGAGGGGTTTAGAGGTGTTTGAGGTTTGGGGGGTTTGGAGGAGATTTGGGGGTTTACGGGGTGTTTGAAGAGGTTTGGGGGGTTGGGGAGTCTGGGAGGTTTTGAAGGGGTTTTAGGGAGGTTTTGGAGGAGATTGGGGGGGTTTAGGGGTGTTTGAGGAGTTTTTGGGGGTTAGGGGTTGTTTGAGATTTTGGGGGGTTGGAGGAGATTTTGGGGGGGTTAGAGGGTGTTTGAGGGTTTTGTGGGGGTGTTTGAGATTTTGGGGGTTTTGGAGGCGATTTGGGGGTTTAGGGTGTTTGAGGAGGTTTTTGGGGGTTTGGGGGGGTTGTTTGAGGTTTTGGGGGGTTGGAAGAGATTTGGGGGATTTAGGGGTGTTTGAGGAGGTTTTTGGGGGTTTGGGGGTTGTTTGAGGTTTTGGGGGGGTTGGAAGAGATTTGGGGGTTTAGGAGGTGTTTGAGGAGTTTTTGGGGTTTGGGGGGATGTTTGAGGGGTTTTGGGGGTTGGAGGAGATTTTGGGGGAGTTTAGGGGTGTTTGAGGAGTTTTGCGGGGATTGGGGGATCTGGGAGTTTTTGAGGGGGTTTGGGGTGTGTTTGGAGGGGTTGGGGGCGATGGGGTGTTTGAGGGGTTTGGGGGAGGTTAGGGGGGCTTTATGGGGTTTGAGGGGGTCTAAGGAGGTTTGGGGAGGTTTAGGGGAGTTTGAGGGGTTTGGGGGGGTTGAGGAGGTTTTGAGGGGGTTGGAGGGGGTTTTGGAGAGGTTTGGAGGGTTTTGAGGAGATTTGGGGTCGTGGGGGTGTTGAGGGCCAGGGGTCAGGGGAGGTTTGGGGGCTTTTGGGAGTGATGGGGGGGAACTGGGGAGTTCTGTCCTCTCCGGGGGGATTTGGGGAGTTCTGGGTGGGATTTGGGGGGTCTGACCCCTCCCTGGTGACTCTGGGGGTTCCCGTCCCCTCAGGGGGTCGGGGGTTCTGACCCCTCCCTGGTGACTCTGGGGGTTCCTGTCCCCTCGGGGGGATTTGGGGGTTCTGGGTGGGATTTGGGGGTCTGACCCTCCCTGGTGACTCTGGGGTTCCTGTCCCCTCGGGGGGATTTGGGGGTTCTGGGTGGGATTTGGGGTCTGACCCCTCCTGGTGACTCGGGGGTTCCCGTCCCCTCGGGGGGGTCGGGGGTTCTGACCCCTCCCTGGTGACTCACGGGGGGCGCGGGGGGCCGGAGGTGACACCGCCCTGAGTCACCCGGGGAGGGGGAGGGGGAGGGGAGGGGGAACACCACGGGGGAGGGGAAGGGACAAGGAAGGGGGACCCTCCAGGAGTCCAGGCAGCCCCCCAAACCCCCGGACCCTCCCAAAAACCCCTTCTGGACCCCCAAAACCCCCTGAATCCCTCCCAAACCCCTCTGGACCCCCCAGAACCCCCTGGATCTTCCCAAAACCCCCTGGACCATCCCCAGAACCCCCTGGATCCCCCAGACCTCCCTGGATCTCCCCAAAACCCCCTGGACCCCCAAACCCCCTGGATCCCCCAAAAACCCCTGGACCCCCAAAACCCCTGGATCTCCCCAAAACCCCCTGGATCTTCTTAATTCCCCAGAATCCCCCAAAACCCCCTGGATCTCCCCAAAACCCCTCTGGATCCCCCAAAGCCCCTGGATCTCCCCAAAACCCCCTGGATCCCCCAAAACCCCCTGGATCCCCCCAAACCCCTCTGGATCCCCCAAAACCCCCTGGATCCCCAGAACCCCTTCTGGATCCCCCAAAACCCCTGGATCTCCCCAAAACCCCTGGATCCCCCAAAACCCCCTGGATCTCCCCAAAACCCTCTGGATACCCCCCAAAAACCCCTGGACCCCCAAAACCCCCTGGATCCTCCCAGAACCCCCTGGATCCCCCAACCCCCCCGGATCTTCCCAGAACCCCCTGGATCTCCCAAAACCCTCTGGATCTTCCCAAAACCCCTGGATCCCCCAAAACCCCTCTGGATCCCCCAGAACCCCCTGGATCCCCCAAAACCCCCTGGATCCCCCAGAACCCCCTGAACCCTCCCAAAACCCCCTGGATCTCCCCAAAACCCCTCTGGATCTCCCCAAAACCCCCTGGATCCTCCCAAAACCCCCTGGATCTTCTCAATTCCCCGAATCCCCCAAAACCCCCTGGATCTCCCAAAACCCCTCTGGATCCCCCAAAACCCCCTGGATCTCCCCAAAACCCCCTGGATCCCCCAAAACCCCCTGGATCCCCCAAAACCCCTCTGGATCCCCCCAAAACCCCCTGGATCCCCCAGAACCCCTTCTGGATCCCCCCAAAACCCCCTGGATCTCCCCAAAACCCCTCTGGATACCCCCAAAAACCCCTGGACCCCCAAAACCCCCTGGATCCTCCCAGAACCCCCTGGATCCCCCAACCCCCCGGATCTTCCCAGAACCCCCTGGATCTCCCCAAAACCCTCTGGATCTTCCCAAAACCCCCTGGATCCCCCCAAAACCCCTCTGGATCTTCCCAAAACCCCCTGGATCCCCCCAAAACCCTCTGGATCCCCCAGAACCCCCTGAACCCTCCCAAAACCCCTGGACCCCCAAAACCCCTCTGGATCTCCCTAAAAGCCCCTGGACTCCCCAAAGCGCCCTTGAATCCCCCAAAACCCCCTGGATCTCCCCAAAACCCCTTCTGGATCCCCAGAACCCTCAGAATCCCCCAAACCCCCTGGATCCCCCAAAAAACCCTGGACCCTCAACCCTCGGATCCCCCAAAACCCCTCTGGATCCCCCATAACCCCTGGATCACCTCAGCCTCCCGACCCCCTAAACCCCCAAATTTACACCCCATCCTCCCTCCCCCAGGGCTGAAACCGCAGCAGCTCCTTCTCGTGCGAAGCCCACAACGCGCGTGGGGTCACCACGTCCCAGCGCCTCCGTCACCGGTGGGGCCTGGGGGCCTGGGGGCCCGGGGGTTTGGGGGTCTCGGGGTCCCTGGGATCGGGAGGGTCCCATTGAATCCTCCCCCACCCCAGAGCCCCCAAAGCACGCGGGGAAGTGGGGGAGGGTTGTAGGTGCTCGGTGGGGAGGGGAGGATCGAGGAGACTTTGGGGGTGCCGGGGAGACTTTGGGGGTGCCGGAGGATTTTGGGGTCCCACTGACCCCTCTCCCCCTTGTGGAGCCCCAGAGCCCCAAAACCCGTGGGAGGGAGGGAGTGTTGTAGGTGGTCATTGGGGAGGGGAGGATCGGGGAGACTTTGGGGGTGCCGGGAGGGTTGGGGAGACTTCTGGGGGTGCAGAGGGGATTTTGGGAGTCCCACTGACCCTCTCCCCTCGTGGAGCCCCAGAGCCCCCAAAACCCGCGGGGAAGTGGGGGAGGGGTTGTAGGTGCTCACTGGGGAGGGGAGGATCGGGGAGACTTTGGGGGTGCCGGGAGGGGCTGGGGAGACTTTGGGAGTGCCGGAGGATTTTGGGGGATCCCAGGGGTCCCAGGAGTCACGGGGGGGTCCCACTGAACCCTCAGACCCCTCAGTGAAGCCCCAGAGCCCCCAAAACCCGCTGGGAGAGAGGGGAGTGTTGTAGGGGATCAGTGGGGAGGATCGGGAGATTTTGGGGGTGCCGGGAGGGGGCTGGGGAGATTTTGGGGGTACCGGGGCGATTTTGGGGTCCCTGACCAGGCCCCCCTCAGTGGTGCCGCAGAGCCCCCAGAAGCTGGTGCTGGTGCGGGGGCCGCGCTGGCTCGAGGTGTCCTGGGAGCCGGGGCCGAGTGGGGAGACTCCCTGGAGACCTGCACGGTCCAGGTTTGGGGGGACACGCGGGGGTGTGGGAGGTGTGAGGGGCACGGGGGGGGTGGGAGGGGCACGGGGACACACGGGGGGACACGGGGGACACGGGGGACACCAGAGGGCACAGGAGGAGGGTGTGGGGGCACAGGGGGAACACGGGGGGGCATGGGGGGACACGGGGGACACACGGGGGTGTGAGGGGATGAAGGGGGCATGGGGGGACACGGGGAGACACGCGGGGTGTGGAGGATATGGGGGACACGTGGGGGTGTGAGGGGATATGGAGGGGCACAGGGGGACACAGGGGGACACAGGGGACATGGGGGCACGGGGGGACACGCGGGGGGTGTGAGGGGCACGGGGGGCACGGGGGACACGGGGGACATGTGGGGGCACATGGGGGCACACAGGGGGTGTGAGGGGCACAGGGGGGCACAGGGGGCATGAGGGGACACTGGGGACACACTGGAGGGTGGAGGGGCACGGGGGGACACTGTGGGGGAGCTGGGGGACACGGGGGGCACGGGAGGGGTATGTGGGGATATGGAGGGGCACAGGGGGACACAGGGGGCATGGGGGACACGGGGGGACACGCGGAGGTGTGAGGGGCACAGGGGGCACATGGGGGCATGAGGGGACACAGGGGGGCACGGGGAGGGGTATGTGGGGATATGGAGGGGCACAGGGGGACACGGGGGGCATGGGGGGCACAGGGGACACGCGGGGGACGTGTGGGGCACGGGGTGACGCGCGTGGGGGTGTGAAAGGGATATGGGGGGACACAGGGGAGTGTGAGGGGCACAGGGGGGCACACGGGGGACACGGGGGTCTCCAGAGGGGCGTGAGGGACACGAGGGGGACACTGTGGGGAGCTGGGGAGCATGGGGGGACATGAGGGGGATATGGGGGCACATGCGGGGGTGTGAGGGGCACGGGAGGACACGGGGGGAATATGTAGGGAGTGGGGGGGCACCGGGGGCGTGGGGGGTGAGGGGCATGAGGGGACACAGGGTGGGGCATGGGGAGGGTGTGGGGGGCACTGGGGGGACACGGGGGGCATGGGGGATATGGGGGGACACGCGGGGGTGACACGGGGGACATGGGGGGTGTGAAGGGGATATGGGGGACTGAGGGGACATGGGGGCACACAGGGGGGCGACACGGGGGACACACGGAGGGGCTCAGGGGGGACACGGAGGGGCATGTGGGAGTGGGGGGACACAGGGGGACGCGAGGGGGTGTGAGGGGCACAGGGGACACAGGGGAGGGGGCATGTGGGGAGTGGGGGTGGGCATTGGAGGGCATGGGGGGCACAGAGGGGCACGCGTGTGGGTGTGAGGGGCACGGGGGGACATGTGGGGGGGCACCGGGGGACACGGCAGGGGCATGGGGGATAGTGGGGAGTGTGGGGGGCACGAGGGGGTGTGAGGGGCACGAGGGGACACGCGGGGTGGGGAGGCGTGGGGGCACAGGGGGTGTGAGGGGACATGTGGATGTCTCGGGGGCACAGGGGAGTGTGGGAGGGATATGGGGGCACAGGGGGTGAGGGATATGGGGGGGCACAGGGGGGATGTGGGAGGGGATATGGGGGCACGGGGGGGTGAGGGATATGGGGGCACAGGGGGATGTGGGGGGGCGTGGGTGGGGGCACAGGGGGTGTGAGGGGATATGGGGGCACGGGGGTGTGAGGGGATATGGGGATGTCTCGGGGGCATGGGGGTGAGGGGATATGGGGGCACAGGGGGTGTGGGGGCACGGAGGACACGCGGGGGTATGGGGGGGATATGGGGGGTGTCTCATGGGGCACGGGGGATGTGGGGGATATGGGGGCACAGGGGGTGTGAGGGCATATGGGGACACAGGGGGATTTGGGGGATATGGGGGGTTGTGGCGGTCCGGGTGGGATCCCCACGGGCTCTGTTATGTCCCCCCCCACCCCCCCGCAGGCGGTGGGCGCTGCCGAGGACCTGAGCCGGGTGCCCCCCGGGGGTCTCTACAACCGGGTGGTCGCGGTGCCCCCGTTCAGCCACCGCATCGGGGGGCTCCGCCCCTTCACCCCCTACCGGGCCCGCGTGTCCTGCCGGAGCCCCCCCGGCCCCTCCGCGTGGACCCCCTGGGTGCCCATGGCCACCACCGAGGGGGGTGAGTGGGGATTTGGGGACCCCCCTGGGACCCCCTGGGTGCTCCAAGGGACCCCTGGGTGCCTGTGCCACCACCGAGGGGTGAGTGGGGATTTGGGGACCCCCTGGGTGCCCATGGCCACCACCGAGGGGGGTGAGTGGGGATTTAGGGGACCCCCCCTGGGTGCCCATGGCCACCACCGAGGGGGGTGAGTGGGAGGGCTTCAGGGACCCCCTGGGTGCCCATGGCCACCACCGAGGGGGTGAGTGGGGAGGGGCTTCAGGGACCCCCTGGGTGCCCATGGCCACCACCGAGGGGGTGAGTGGGGTTGGGGACCCCCTGGGACCCCTGGGTGCTCAAGGACCCCCTGGTGCCCATGGCCACCACCGAGGGGGTGTGTGGGAGGGGGCTTCTAGGGGACCCCTGGGTGCCCATGGCCACCACCGAGGGGGTGAGTGGGGAGGGGATTTGGGGACCCCTGGGACTCCCAGTGCTCCAAGGACCCCTGGGTGCCCATGGCCACCACCGAGGGGGGTGAGTGGGGAGGGGGCTTCAGGGGACCCCCTGGGTGCCCATGGCCACCACCGAGGGGGGTGAGTGGGGAGGGGGGATTTGGGAACCCCCAGGGTGCTCCAAGGGACCCCCTGGGACCCCCGAGGGACCCCTTGGGTGCCCATGGCCACCATGGAGGGGGCGGAGTGGGAGGAGGTTGGACTTGGGGACCCCCTGGGACCCCTGAGGGGGTTGGTGGTGTCAGAGCCTCAGGGACTGGATTTGGGGGGTCTTTTGGGTCTGGATTTGGGGTCCCTGGGGATGGGGGGTGGGTTTGGGGTCCCCAGGGGATTTGGGGGTCTTTTGGGTCTGGATTTGGGGTCCCTGGGGATGGGGGGTGGGTTTGGGGGTCCCCAGGGGATTTGGGGAGTCTTTGGGTCTGGATTTGGGGGTCCCTGGGGATGGGGGTGGGTTGGGGTCCCCAGGGGATTTGGGGGGTCTTTTGGGTCTGGATTTGGGGTCCATGGGGATGGGGGTGGGTTTGGGGTCCCCAGGGGATTTGGGGGGTCTTTTGGGTCTGGATTTGGGGGTCCATGGGGATGGGGGTGGGTTTGGGGTCCCTAGGGGATTTGGGGGGTCTTTTGGGTCTGGATTTGGGGTCCCTGGGGATGGGGGTGGGTTTGGGGTCCCCAGGGGATTTGGGGGATAGGGGGGTGGACTGGATTTGGGGGTCCTAGGGATGGGGGTGGGTTGGGGTCCCCGGGGGATTTGGGGGATAGGGGCTGGGTCTGGATTTGGGGTCCCTGAGGATGGGAGTGTGAATTTGGGGTCCCCATTGCCCTGGGAGGAGTGTGAGGGGGCTGACAGGACGTGGGGGTCTCTGGGATCCCCCTGGTTTGGAGGGTCCCAGACACCCCCAGCTGACCTCCCTCCCCCTCCCAGCTCGGGGCCCCGAGAACGTGACGGCCGAGCTGGAGGGGGCAGGGCCCGGGTGCGCTGGGGACCCCCTGGGGACCCCTCAGTGGGGTGCTCAGGGGTACAGGCTGAGCTACAGCACCGACCCCCACCACCAGGTGGGACCCCGGAGCCTCCATCACCCCCATAGCCCCCCCACCCCTGTGCCCCCTAAGACACCCTGTGCCCCCCATCACCCCCATGACCCCCATCACGCCCCCATCACCTCCATGGCCCCCATCACCCCTGTGCCCCCAAGACCCTCCATCACCCCTGTGCCCCCATCACCCCCATCACCTCCATGGTCCCCCATCAACCCCTGTGCCCCCATCACCCCCATCACCTCCATGGCCCCCACCATCCCCTTGCCCCCAAGACCCCCATCACCCCCTGTGCCCCCCATCACCCCCAATCACCCCCATGGCCCCCATCACCCCCTTTGTCCTCCATCAACCCTTGCCCCCATTGTGCCCCCATGGCCCCCCAAAATCCCCATTGCCCCCCATCGACCCCCATTTCCCCCTTGCTTTGCCCTCCATCACCCCCTGCACCCCCCAACCCCTGACCCCCATTGTCCCCCTGTGCCCCCATCACCTTCTGTGCCCCCATCAACCCCTGCCCCCATTGTCCTCCCATTGCCCCCATCACCCCCTTTGCCCCCATACCCCCATCTCCCCATTGCCCCCATCACCCCCTTTGCCCCTCGACCTCCCATTTCCTCCCCTGACCCCCATTTTCCCCTCTGACCCCCATCACCCTCTGTGCCCCCAACACCCCTACCCCCATTGCCCCCTATGCCCCCATTATCCCCTGTGCCCCCTCTGACCCCCATTTTCTCCCTGACCGCCCCGGTGCTCCCCAGGAGGTTCTGGACGTGGGGTTGGCTCAGGAGGCCACGCTGGATTTGGGGTCCCCCCTGCACAACGTGACCCTCCGCGTGGCCCCCTACACTGGGGACGGGCCCTGGAGCCCCCTGCTGCTGCTGCTGCCCCGTGAGTCACCCCCTCCCCAAAACACCCCCAAAACACCCCCAAATCACCCCAAAACACCCCCAAAAACACCCCTGAACACCCCAAATCACCCCCAGAAACACCCCTAAATCACCCCCAAAACACCCCCAAAAACACCCTGAACACCCCAAAAACACCCTCTAAATCACCCCCAAAACACCCCAAAACCACCCCAAAAACCACCCTGAACACCCCCAAATCACCCCAAAAACACCCCCAAAAACACCCCCAAATCATCCCCAAAAACACCCCCAAATCACCCCCAAAAACACCCCCAAACACAGCCTTAACACCCCCAAATCACCCCCAAAACACCCCCAAATCACCCCTCAAAAACACCCCAAAAACACTCTGAGACACCCCAAAAACACCCCAAAAACACCCCAAAACCCATCCTGAACACCCCAAATCACCCTCAAAAACACCCCCAAAAACACCCCAAATCACCCCCAAAAACACCCCCAAAACACCCCAAATACCCACAACCCCAAAACCACCCCAAAACCACCCCAAATACCCACAAATCTCCTCAAAACCAACCCAAAACCCTGGACCCCCAAATCACCACTAAAAACACCCAAAATACCCATAAATTACCCCAAAACCACCCCAAAACCCTGGACCCCAGATCACCACCAAAAACACCCTGAATCCCCTCAAAACACCCCAAATCCACCCCCACAAACCCCGACCCCCAAAATCACCCTGAATCCCCCAAAACCCTGGACACCCAAATCACCCCACAAATCACCCCAAATACCCACAAATCCCCCCAAAACCACCCCAAAACCACCCCAAAACCCTGGACCCTCAAATCACCCCACAGATGCCCCCACAAACAACCCCAAAACCCTGGACCCCAAAATCCCCTCCAAAAACAACCCCAAATCCCCCAAAACCCTGGACCCCCAAATCCCCACCAAAAAACTCCCAAAATCCCCCCAAAACCCTGGACCCCTAATCTCCCCAAATCCCTCTCAATCCCAGCCCCAAATGTCCCCAAATGCCCCCAAATCCTCCCCAATCTCTCCCAATCCCAGCCCCAGAACTCCCAAATTTCCCCAAATGCTCCTCAAATCCCCCCAAAATCCCCCTCAATCCCACCCTCAAATCCCCCAAATTTCCCCAAATTCCCCCAAATGCCCCCCCAAATCCCCCCCAAATCCCCCCCCAAATCCCTCACTGACTCCTCCTCGTGTCCCCACAGCTGGAGAGGCCCCACTGGAGACACATCTGGGTGAGGATGGGATGGGATGGGATGGAGATGGGATGGGATGGGATGGGATGGGATGGGATGGGATGGGATGGGATGGGATGGGATGGGAGGGATGGGATGGGATGGGATGGGATGGGGATGGGATGGGATGGGATGGGATGGGGATGGGATGGGATGGGATGGGATGGGATGGGATGGGAGGGGATGGGATGGGATGGGAGGGGATGGGATGGGATGGGATGGGATGGGATGGGATGGGATGGGATGGGATGGAGGGGATGGGATGGGATGGGATGGGATGGGATGGGATGGGATGGGATGGGATGGATGGGTGGGGTGGGATGGGATGGGATGGGATGGGAGGGGATGGGATGGGATGGGATGGGATGGGATGGGATGGGATGGGATGGGATGGGATGGGATGGGATGGGATGGGATGGGGTGGGGTGGGATGGGATGGGATGGGATGGGAGGGATGGGATGGGATGGGATGGGATGGGATGGGATGGGATGGGATGGGATGGGATGGGATGGGATGGGATGGGATGGGATGGGATGGGATGGGATGGGATGGGATGGGATGGGATGGGATGGGATGGGATGGGATGGGATGGGATGGGATGGATTGGGATGGGATGGGATGGGATGGGGTGGGATTGATGGGATGGGATGGGATGGAGGGGATGGGGTGGGATGGGATGACAATGATGATGATGATGACGATGATGACGATGATGACAATGACGATGATGGCGGCAATGGTGACAACAATGACAACGATGACAATGATGACAATGATGACAACAATGACGATGACAGCGATGACAGTGTTGATGATGACAACAGTGACAATGACGATGACGGTGACAATGGCGACAACAATGACAGTGATGACAATTAATCACAACAATGATGTTGATGATGACAATGACGATGACGCCGATAAGATAGACGATGACGCTGACAATGACCCCAATAACGTTGACAATGACAATGACGATGACCCCGATAACACTGATGATGACAATGACGATGACCCCAGTGACGTTGACGATGACAATGACAACGATGATGACCCCGATAACGTTGATGATGACAATGACGATGACCCCAGTGACGTTGACGATGACAATGACAACGATGATGACCCCGATAACGTTGATGATGACCCCAATGACGTCGACGATGACAATGACGATGACCCCAATGACATTGACGATGTCAGTGATGATGGCGCCGATAACGTTGACGATGACAATGACACTGACGCCAATGCCACCCCTGCCAATGTCCCCTCCCCGCAGTGCGGCCGGCGGTGCCCGGGGGTTGGTGGCCGGCGCTGGTGGCTCTGGTGGCCGTGGGGACGCTGGCGCTGGGGGCGCTGGCCGTGGTGGCCGCGCGGCGGCGGCGGAAGGAGACGCGGTTCGGGTGAGCCCCACCCCGGGACCCCTGGGGACCCCTGTGACCCCCATGACCCCTGTGACCATTGGTGACCTTCTGTGACCCCCCATGACTTCTGGTGACCTCTGTGACCCCCCCATGACCCCCTGGTGACCCCTGTGATTCCCATCACCCTGGGGACCCCCATGACCCCTTGGTGACCTCCCATGACCCCTTTGAACCCTGAGGACCCCTGTGACACCCCATGACCCCCCCATGACCCTGGTGACCCCAATGACTCCCTGGTGACTCCCTGTGACCCCCATGACCCCTTGTGACCTCCCATGACTCTCTAGTGATGGCCCATGACCCCTTGGTGACCTCCCATGACCCCTTTGAACCCTGGTGACCCCTGTAACCCTCTGGTGACCCCTGTGATACCCCATGACCCCCATGACCCCCTGGTGACCCCTGTGACTCCCATGACCCCTGGTGTCCCCCTGTGACCCCATGGTGACCCCCCATGACTCTGGTGACCCCCAACGACCCCCTGGTGACCCCCCCATGACCCCTTGTGACCCTGGTGACCCCTGTAAGCCCCTGGTGACCCCCTAGTGACCCCCACAACTCTGGTGACCCCCATGACCCCTGGTGACCCCCACAGCTCTGGTGACCCCCATGACCCCTTGCTGACCTGTTGACCCCACGGCCCCGGTGTCCTGTGGTGTCCCCAGGGCCGCGTTCGCTCCCACCGTTCGTTTCCGGGTGCGCAGCTCCTACGGCCGCCGCTCGGCACAGGCCACCCGTGAGTCACGCTGGGGCCTGGCCCCTGTGTCCCCCTGTGTCCCCAAGGTCCCCCTGAACCCCATCCCCCTGGCCCCTGTGTCCCCTGACCCCTGTGCCACATCCCTGGCCCCTGTGTCCCCCTGTGTCCCCTGATCCCCTGACCCCACATCCCCTGTGCCCCTGTGTCCCCTGTCCCCAGGTCCCCCTGACCCCCATCCCCCTGTCCCCTGTGTCGGGTCCCCTGAGCCCACATCCCCTGTCCCCTGTGTCCCCTGTGTCCCCTGTGACTCCCATGCCCCCTGGCCCCTGTGTCCCCTGTGTCCCCTGTCCCCTGAACCACATCCCCCTGTCCCCTGTGTCCCCTGACCCACATCATCATGTCCCCCATGGCCCCATCAGGCCACCCATGAGTCACGCTGGGCCCTGGCCCTGTGTCCCCTGTGTCCCGAACCACGTCCCCTGTGCCCCTGTGTCCCCCATGGTCCCCTGAACCCCTATCCCCTGGCCCCTGTGTCCCTGAGCCACATCCCCCTGTCCCTGTGCCCCCATGTCCCCTGACCCCCATCCCCCTGTCCTGTGTCCCCTGTCCCCTGAGCCACATCCCCCTGTCCCCTGTGCCCCCTCTTGACCCCCTCGCCCCTGAATCCCCATGTCCTCCTGACCCTCTCCCCGTCTCCCCATATCCCCCAATACCTCCTATCCCCCATCGTCCCCATGTCCCCCATATCCCCTATTGCCCCCTGTGTCCTCCGTGCCCCCGACCCCCGTGTCCCCTCCTGACCCTCCCCAATGGCCCCTCCTGACCCTCCCCATGGCCCCTCCTGACCCTCCCCATCTCCCCATATCCCCCATTCCCCATACCCCCATGTCCCTCCCGTCCCCCCACCCCCCGCCCCCGACCCCGTGTCCCCTCCTGACCCTCCCCCAGTCTCCCCACTATCCCCCCATATCCCTGCATTCCCCACCCCCGTGTCCCCCCCCCTGCCCCCCACACCCCACCCCGCCCCCCGTGTCCCCCACACCCCCGTGGGCCCCCCCGACCCCCTTTCCCCCTTTTCCCCAGTGAACCGTCTGGGCATCAGCGCGGAGCTGAAGGAGAAGCTGCGGGACGTGCTGGTCGAGCGGCACCGCGTGGCCCTGGGCAAGACCCTGGGCGAGGTGGGTGTCCCGACCCCAGGACCTCAGGACCCCCGGTGCTGGAGGGACCCCCGGGGCTGGAGGGACCCCCTCCCAACAACCCCCAATCCCACAGGGGAGTTCGGCTCGGTGGTGGAGGGGCAGCTGCACCAGGAGGGCGGAGTGCTCAGGGTGGCCGTGAAAACCATGAAGAGTGAGCGCTCAGACAGCACCCCCACCCAAAGCACGGACCCCAGGACCCCCCGACCCCCTGACCCCCCTGACCCCCCATCCTCTGCAGTCGCCATCTGCTCGCGGGGAGCTGGAGGATTTCTGAGCGAGGCCGTTTGCATGAAGAGTTCGACCACCCCAACGTCATGAAGCTCATTGGTGAGGGGACCCCCCCTCGGGACCCCCCCCAAACCCCTGGGACCCCCACAAACCCCTGGGGATCCTCAGCACCCCTGGGACCCCCCAAACCCTGGGACCCCCACAAACACCTGGGACCCCACAAGCCCCTGGGAACCCCCAAACCACTGGGAACCCCTCAAACCACTGGGACCAACCCATCCCCCTGGGAACCCCTCAAACCCCTGGGACCCCCACAAACTCCTGGGGATCCTCAGCACCCCCTGGGACCCCCTCCAAACCCTTAGGAACCCCCAAACCCCTGGGCACCCCCAAACCCCAACGTCATGAAGCTCATCGGTGAGGGACCCCCCACCTCAGGACCCCGGAGAACCCCCAAAACCCAGGACCTCCCCAAACCCCAGGGAACCCCCAAACCACTGGGACCCACCCAACCCCTGGGACCCACCCAACCCCTGGGACCCCCCAAACCCCTGGGCACCCCAAACCCCAATGTCATGAAGCTCATTGGTGAGGGACCCCCCACCTTAGGACCCCAGGACACCCCAAAACACCCGGGACCTCCCCAAACCCCTGGGAAGCCCCAGGACTTCCCCTAAAACCCTGGGACCCCTCAAAAGCCCCATGGCACCCCAAACCCCAATGTCATGAAGCTCATCGGTGAGGGACCCCCACCTCAGGACCCCTCAGGACACCCCAAAACCCCACGACCCCCAAACCCCTGGGAAACCCCCAAAGCCCAGGACCCACCCAACCCCCTGGGAACCCCTCAAACCCCTGGGGACCCCCAAACCCTGGGAAAGCCCCAAGCCCTGGGGACCCCCAAACCCTGGGGACCCCCAAACCCCTGGGAGATCTTCAGCACCCCTGGGACCCCCTCGAACCCTTGGGACACCCCAAATCCTTGGGACCCCCAAACCCTCTGGGGATCCCTGACCCCCAGAGGTGTCCCTGCAGAGCTGGGGGGACTCGAGGGGTCCTGAGTCTGACCCCCAGGGGTGTCCCTGCAGAGCTGGGGGCTCAGGGTGGGTCAGGGGTCGGGCTCAGTGTGACCCCAGGGTGTCTGCAGAGCTGGGGCTCAGGGTGGCTCAGGGTCCCAGAGGTCTGGGTGTGACCCCCAGGGTGTCCTGCAGAGCTGGGGGGTTTGGGGGGCTCAGAGGGTCCCAGGGTGTGACCTCCCAGGGGTGTCCTGCAGAGCTGGGGGGTCCCGGGGGTCCCGGGTGTGACCTCCAGGGGTGTCCCTGCAGAGCTGGGGGGTTTGGGGGCTCAGGAGTCCCGTGGGGTCCCGGGGTTTGACCCCCGGGGTGTCCTGCAGAGCTGGGGGTTTGGGGGTCCCAGGGGGTCCCAGGTGTGACCCCCAGGGTGTCCCTGCAGAGCTGGGGGCTCAGGGGGTCCCGGGGGTCCCGGGTTTGACCACCCCCAGGGTGTCCCTGCAGAGCTGGGGGCCTCAGGGGTCCCAGGGTTGTCCCAGGTGTGACCCCCAGGGTGTCCCTGCAGAGCTGGGGGGTTTGGGGGCCTCAGGGGTCCCAGGGGTCCTGGGGTGTGACCCCCCAGGGGTGTCCCTGCAGAGCTGGGGGGTTTGGGGGTCCCAGGGGTCCAGGGTTTGACCCCCAGGGGTGTTCCTGCAGAGCTGGGGGGCTCAGGGTGGGTCAGGGGTCCCAGGGTATCCCAGGGTGTGACCCCCCAGGGGTGTCCCTGCAGAGCTGGGAGGCTCAGGGTGGCTCAGGGGTCCCGTGGGGTCCCAGGTTTGACCCCCAGGGGTGTCCCTGCAGAGCTGGGGGGCTCAGGGGGTCCCAGGGGTCCGAGGTGTGACCCCCAGGGTGTCTCTGCAGAGCTGGGGGCTCAGGGGTCCGGGGGTCCCAGGGTGACCCCCAGGGGTGTCCCTGCAGAGCTGGGGGCCGAGGGGCTCCCCGCCCCCATCGTCATCCTGCCCTTCATGAAACACAGGGACCTGCACAGCTTCCTGCTCTGCGCCCAGCCTCGGGGACCCCCAGGGTCAGTGCGGGCATGGGGAGTCATAGGGGGTCCTGGGGAGTCTCACAGCTTCCTGCTCTGCGCCCGCCTCGGGGACCCCAGGGTCAGTGCTGGGGATCGGGGGTCCTGGGGTGGTCCAGGAGGGTCCTGGGGGGTCCTGGGGGGTCTCACAGCTTCCTGCTCTGCGCCCGCCTCAGGGACCCCAGGGTCAGTGCGGGCATGGGGGGGTCATGGGGGGGTCTCACAGCTTCCTGCTCTGCGCCCGCCTCGAGGACCCCAGGGTCAGTGGGGAATGGGGGGGTCAAAGGGGGGCTCAGGATGGGTTGGGGGTCCCCGAGATGGCTCAGGGTGGGTTGGGGGTCCCTGGGGATGGTTCAGGAGTATAATTTGGGGTCTGTGCCCCCCCAGGCGCTGCCCCCGCACCCTGGTGGGGTTCATGTGGGACATCGCGGCCGGGATGAGTTACCTGGGGAGGTGTCTGGGTGGGTTGGGGGTGCCCGGGGGCTCAGGGCAGGTTGGGGGTCCCTGGGGGCTCAGGGGTTTAATTTGGGGTCTGTGCCCCCAGGCGCTGCCCCCAGCACCCTGGTGGGGTTCATGTGGGACACCATGGTCGGGATGAGTTACCGGGGGGCTCAGGATGGGTTGGGGTCCCCGGGGTCCCCAGGGGTATAATTTGGGTCTGTGCCCCCAGGCGCTGCCCCCCGCACCCTGGTGGGGTTCATGTGGGACATCGCGGCCGGGATGAGTTACCTGGGGGGGTCCAGGATGGGTTGGGGGTCTCAGGGGTGGGTTGGGGGTCCCTGGGGGCCCAGGGTTTAATTTGGGTCTGTGCCCCAGGCGCTGCCCCCCGCACCCTGGTGGGGTTCATGTGGGACATCGCGGCCGGGATGAGTTACCTGAGCAGCAGGAACTGTGCACCGGGACCTGGCGGCTCGGAACTGCATGTGGGGACAGGGGGGGCTCGGGGGGCTTGGGGAGCTCAGGGGGACAGGGGAGGCTCGGGGGCTCAGGGGACGGGAGGGGATGTGGGGGTCTCGAGGGGGACGTGGGGGCAGAGGAGGCCACGGAGGGACAGGGGTGGCTCCGGGGAGAGGGGGAGCTCGGGGGGTCTCGGAGGGGCTCGGGGGTCTCGGGGGTCTCGAGGGGGCTCAGGGGGGCTCGAGGGGGCACGGGGGGGCACGTGGGGAAAGGGGGTGGCGGGGGGGATAGGTTAAGGGGTGATGGGATTTGGGGGTGTCAGGGTTATTTGGGGTTAATGGGGTCTCCCTGTCCCCTCCCCAGGCTGGACGAGCACCTGCGGGTGCGGGTGGGGGTGATGGGGTGATGGGATTTGGGGTTATGGGGTGATGTGGTGATGGGATTTGGGGTTAATGGGGTCCTGTCCCCCCATCCCAGGCTGGACGAGCACCTGCGGGTGCGGGTGGGGGTGATGGGGTGATGGGATTTGGGGTGTCAGGGTTATTTGGGGTTAATGGGGTCTCCCTGTCCTCCCCAGGCTGGACGAGCACCTGCGGTGCGGTGGGAGGTTATGGGGGGGTGATGGGATTTGGGGTTATGGGGTGATGGGATTTGGGGTGTCAGGGTTATTTGGGGTTGATGGGGTCCCTTTCCCCCCAGGTTGGACGAGCACCTGCGGGTGTGGGTGGGGGTTATGGGGTGATGGGATTTGGGGTGATGGGATTTGGGGTGATGTGGTGATGGGATTTGGGGTTAATGGGGTCTCTTTCCCCCCAGGCTGGACGAGCACCTGCGGGTGCGGGTGGGGGTTATGGGGTGATGGGATTTGGGGTGTCAGGGTTATTTGGGGTGATGGGGTCTCTTTCCCCCCAGGCTGGACGAGCACCTGCGGGTGCAGGTGGGGGTTATGGGGTGATGGGATTTGGGTGATGGGGTGATGGGATTTGGGGTTATGGGGTGATGGGATTTGGGGGTGTCAGGGTTATTTGGGGTCCCGGGATTTGGGGTTAATGGGGTCCCTGTCCCCCCCATCCCAGGCTGGACGAGCACCTGCGGGTGCGGGTGGGGGTGATGGGGTGATGGGATTTGGGGTGTCAGGGTTATTTGGGGTGATGGGGTCCCTGTTCCCCCCATCCCAGGCTGGACGAGCACCTGCGGGTGCGGGTGGGGGGTGATGGGGTGATGGGGTGTCAGGGTTATTTGGGGTTAATGGGGTCTCTTTCCCCCAGGCTGGACGAGCACCTGCGGGTGCGGGTGGGGGTTATGGGGTGATGGGATTTGGGGTGTCAGGGTTATTTGGGGTGATGGGGTCTCTTTCCCCCCAGGCTGGACGAGCACCTGCGGGTGCGGGTGGCGGATTTCGGGCTCTCCAAGCAGGTGGGGGGGTCCCAGTACTACCGGCAGGGCCGGGGGGCCCCCGTGCCCGTCAAGTGGGTGGCCCTGGAGAGCCTGGCTGACCGCGTGTACACCACCAAGAGCGACGTGGTGAGAGCACAGGGCACCCCCGGGGCCCCAAAATATCCACTGGGACCTCAGAGCACCCTCTGGGACCCCAAAATATCCACTGGGACCACAGAACACCCACTGGGACCCCAAAATATCCACTGGGACCCCAAAATATCCACTGGGACCACAGAACACCCTCTGGGACCCCAAAATATCCACTGGGACCCCAAAATATCACTGGGACCCCAGAGCACCCTCTGGGACCCCAAAACATCCACCGGGACCCCAGAGCACCCTCTGGGAGCCCAAAATATTCACTGGGACCCCAAAATATTCACTGGGCCCCAAAAACATCGACTGGGACCCCAAAACATCGACTGGGACCCCAAAATATCCACCGGGAGCACAGAGCACCCTCTGGGACCCCAGAGCACCCTCTGGGACCCCAAAACACCCACTGGGACCCCAAAACATCCACCGGGAGCACAGAGTACCCTCTGGGACCCCAAAATATCCACCGGGACCCCAAAACATCCACTGGGGCTCCAAAATATCCACCGGGACCCCAAAATATCCACTGGGACCACAGAGCACCCTCTGGGACCCCAAAACATTCACTGGGACCACAGAACATCCACTGGGACCCCAAAAATATCCACTGGGGCCACAGAACACCCTCTGGGACCACAGAACACCCTCTGGGACCCCAAAACATCCACTGGGACCCCAAAACATCCACTGGGACCCCAAAACATTCACAGGGACCCCAAAACATCCACAGGGACCCCAAAACCGTTCAGGGTGTGGGTGGATCCCAGTGGATCCCATCAGATCCCAGTTGATTCCTGTCCCCCCAGTGGTCGTTCGGGGTGACCATGTGGGTGGATGGGGATGGCTGTGGGTGGATCCCAGTGGATCCTATCAGATCCCAGTGGATCCCAGTTGGTTCCTGTCCCCCCAGTGGTCGTTCGGGGTGACCATGTGGGTGGATCCTGGTGGATCCCAGTGGATTTTGGTGGATCCCAGTTGGTCCCTGTCCCCCCAGTGGTCGTTTGGGGTGACCATGGGGGTGTCCGTGGGTGGATCCCAGTGGATCCCAGTTGATTCCTGTCTCCCCAATGGTCGTTCGGGGTGACCATGAGGGTGGATCCCAGTGGATTCTGGTGGATCCCAGTTGGTTCCTGTCTCCCCAGTGGTCGTTCGGGGTGACCATGTGGGTGGATGGGGAAGGCTGTGGGTGGATCCCAGTTGGTTCCTGTCCCCCCAGTGGTCGTTTGGGGTGACCATGGGGGTGTCCGTGGGTGGATCCCATCAGATCCCAGTTGGTTCCTGTCCCCCCAGTGGTCCTTCGGGGTGACCATGTGGGTGTCTGTGGGTGGATCCCAGTGGATCCCATCAGATCCCAGTTGATTCCTGTCCCCCCAGTGGTCGTTCGGGGTGACCATGGGGGTGTCTGTGGGTGGATCCCAGTGGATCCCAGTTGGTTCCTGTCCCCCCAGTGGTCGCCCGGGGTGACCATGTGGGTGGATGGGGATGGCTGTGGGTGGATCCCAGTTGGTTCCTGTCCCCCCAGTGGTCCTTCGGGGTGACCATGTGGGTGGATGGGGATGGCTGTGGGTGGATCCCAGTGGATCCCAGTTGGTTCCTGTCCCCAGTGGTCCTTCGGGGTGACCATGGGGGTGGATTTGGATGGCTGTGGGTGGATCCCAGTTGGTTCCTGTCCCCCCAGTGGTCGTTCGGGGTGACCATGTGGGTGTCTGTGGGTGGATCCCGGTCGATCCCAGTGGATCCCAGTTGGTTCCTGTCCCCCCAGTGGTCCTTCGGGGTGACCATGTGGGTGTCTGTGGGTGGATCCCATCAGATCCCAGTTGGTTCCTGTCCCCCCAGTGGTCGTTCGGGGTGACCATGTGGGTGTCTGTGGGTGGATCCCATCAGATCCCAGTGGATCCCAGTTGGTTCCTGTCCCCCCAGTGGTCGTTCGGGGTGACCATGTGGGTGGATCCCAGTGGATTTTGGTGGATCCCAGTTGGTTCCTGTCCCCCCAGTGGTCCTTCGGGGTGACCATGTGGGAAATCGCCGCCCGGGGTCTGACCCCGTACCCGGGGCTGGAGAACAGCGAGGTCTTCGAGTACCTGCGGGGGGGGCATCGCCTGGGGGCCCCCCCACAGTGCCCCCCGCACCTGTGAGTGACCCCTGACCCCCCCAAACCCCCACCTGTGACCCCTGGCCCCCAAAGCCCCCACAGTGCCCCCCGCACCTGTGAGTGACCTCTGACCCCCAAAAGCCCCACCTGTGACCCCTAGCCTCAAGCCCCACAGTGCCCCCACCTGTGGGTGACCTCCTGACCCCCAAGCCCCACCTGTGACCCCTGAACCCCAAAACCCCCACAGTGCCCCCGCACCTGTGAGTGACCTGACCCCCAAACCCCCACAGTGCCCCGCACCTGTGGTGACCCCTGACCCCCAAAACCCCCACACCTGTGAGTGACCCCTGACCCCCAAAGCCCCCACACCTGTGAGTGACCTCTGACCCCCAAAAAGCCCCCACACCTGTGAGTGACCCCTGACCCCCAAAAGCCCCCACACCTGTGAGTGACCCCTGACCCCCAAACCCCCACAGTGCCCCCGCACCTGTGAGTGACCCCTGACCCCCAAAACCCCCCACACCTGTGAGTGACCTCTGACCCCCCAAACCCCCACACCTAGTAGCCTCCCCGCACCTGTAGGTGACCTCTGACCCCCAACCCCCACCTGTGAGTGACCCCTGACCCCCCAAAACCCCCACACCTGTGAGTGACCTCTGACCCCCAAAGCCCCCACACCTGTGAGTGACCTCTGACCCCCAAAATCCCCCACACCTGTGAGTGACCTCTGACCCCCCAAACCCCCACACCTGTGAGTGACCTCCTGACCCCCCAAAATCCCCCACACCTGTGAGTGACCTCTGACCCCCCAAAACCCCCACACCTGTGAGTGACCTCTGACCCCCAAAACACCCCCACACCTGTGAGTGACCTCTGACCCCCAAAACCCCCACACCTGTGAGTGACCTCTGACCCCCCAAACACCCCCACACCTGTGAGTGACCTCTGACCCCCAAAGCCCCCCACCTGTGAGTGACCTCTGACCCCCCAAAACCCCCACCTGTGAGTGACCTCTGACCCCCAACCCCCTGCCTGTGAGTGACCTCTGACCCCCAAAACCCCCACCTGTGGGACCCTGACCCCCAAAATCCCCCAAAACCTGTGAGTGACCTCTGACCCCCAAAGCCCCCCACCTGTGAGTGACCCTGACCCCCAAAACCCCCACCTGTGACCCCTGACCCCCACTGTCCCCGCACCTGTGACCCCTGACCCTCCCCAACCCCCACACCTGTGAGTGACCCTGACCCCCAAAACCCCCAGTGCCCCCCAGCTGCAGGCTGACCCCAAACCCCCTTCCCCCCAGTTTCGGGGTCCCCCAGGTACTCCCTGATGCTCTGCTGCTGGGCCCCCATTTTGGGAGTGCTCCCCATTTTGGAGGGTACTCCTCCCATTTTGGGGTTCCCCTCTCTCCCTGACCCCCATTTTGGGGTGCCTCCTGACCCCCCATTTTTGGGGTACTCCTCCCATTTCTGGGGTTCCCCTCTCTCCCCTGACCCTCCCATTTTTGGGGTGACCCCCTGATCCCCCCAATTTCGGGGTCCCCCCCAGGTACTCTCTGATGCTCCGCTGCTGGGCACCCATTTTTGGGGTGCTCCCCCATTTCTGGGGTTCCCTCTCTCCCCTGACCCCTCATTTTGGGGTCCCCCCAATTTCAAGGTCCCGCAGGTACTCTCTGATGCTCCCGCTGGGCCCCCATTTTGGGTGCCCCCTGACCCCATTTTTGGGGTTCCCCTCTCTCCCCTGACCCCCCCATTTTTGGGGTTCCCCCCCATTTTTGGGGTCCCCCCAGGTACTCTCTGATGCTCCGCTGCTGGGCCCCCATTTTGGGGTTCCTCTCCCCTGACCCCCATTTTTGGGGTCCCCTGACCCCCATTTTGGGGTTCCCCCATTTTTAGGGTCCCCCAGGTACTCTCTGATGCTCCGCTGCTGGGCCGCCATTTTTGGGGTGACCCTGACCCCAATTTTAGTTCCCCTCTCTCCCGACCCCCATTTTGGGGTCCCCTGACCCCCAATTTCGGGTCCCCCATTTTGGGGTCCCCAGGTACTCTCTGATGCTCCGCTGCTGGGCCCCCATTTTTAGTGTGCCCCTGACCCCCATTTTTGGGGTTCCCCCATTTTTGGGGTCCCCCAGAGTACTCCCTGATGCTCCGCTGCTGGGCCCCCATTTTTAGGGTTCCCCTCTCTCCCCTGACCCCCCCATTTTTGGGGTGTTCCCCCATTTTTGGGGTTCCCTCTCTCTCCTGACCCCCAATTTTGGGGTTCCCCCATTTTTAGGGTCCCCCAGGTACTCTCTGATGCTCCGCTGCTGGGCCCCCATTTTTGGGGTTCTCTCCCTGACCCCCATTTTGGGGTGCTCCCCCATTTTTGAGGTTCCCCTCTCCCCTGACCCCCCATTTTTGGGGTCCCCCCAGGTACTCTCTGATGCTCCGCTGCTGGGCCCCCATTTTTGGGGTTCCTCTCTCCCCTGACCCCCCCCATTTTTGGGGTCCCCCCAGGTACTCTCTGATGCTCCGCTGCTGGGCCCCCATTTTTAGTGTGCCCCCTGACCCCCCATTTTTGGGGTGCCCCTGACCCCCAATTTCAGGGTCCCCCATTTGGGGTCCCCCAGGTACTCCTGATGCTCCGCTGCTGGAGCCCCCATTTTCAGGGTGCCCCTGTCCCCCATTTTTGGGGTTCCCTGGCCCCCCCATTTTTAGGGTGACCCCTGACCCCCATTTTTGGGGTTCCCCTCTCTCCCTGACTCCCCCATTTTGGGTTCCCTAATTTCAGGGGTCCCTCCAGGTACTCCTGATGCGTGCTGTGCCCTCATTTTTGTGCCCCTGACCCCCATTTTTGGGGTTCCCCTCTCCTGGCCATTTTGGGGTCCCCCATTTTGGGGTCCCCCAGTACTCTCTGATGCTCCGCTGCTGGGCCGCCGACCCCGGGACCGCCCGACCTTCGAGGAGCTGGGGGGCTCTGGGGGCTAGCCCTGCAGGTCTCCCCCCTGCCCGACCCCCGCCGCCCCCACGGACCCTCTACGTCAACATGGCCGAGGGGGAGGGGCGGCCAGAGGGTGGGGAGGGCTCCGGCAGAGCCCCCTCCCTCGCCCCTCCCCCGGGCGTTACGTGCTCTGCCTGAGCCCCCGAGCAGGGGACCCCCAGCCCGGCCCCCTGCGCCGCCTCCGAGGAGGGCGGTGACGTGGGGGTCCCCACCCGCCCCACCCCCCTCCCCCAACCCCCAAAAAAGCTGCCGCACTGCCAGGGACGCCCCCACCCCTTCCGATCCCCCTTCCTCCAGAATCACGGACTTGGGGACCCCCAGGGTCAGGACCCCCAAAGGACAGAGACACCTCCAAGGGTCAGGACCCCCAAAGGGACAGGACCCCCAAAGGGACAGAGACCCCCAAAGGGACAGGAGCCCCCAAAGTGGTCAGGACCCCCCAAGGAAGGGAGGTCAGGACCCCCAAAGGGTCAGGACCCCCAAAGGGACAGGACCCCCTCCAAAGGAAGGGACACCCCAGGGACGGCCCCCAAGGGTCAGGACCCCCAAGGGACAGAGACCCCCAAAGGGACAGGACCCTCCAAAGGGTCAGGACCCCCCTCAAAGGAAGGGACCCCCAGGGACAGCCCTCAAGGGTCAGGACCCCCAAAGGGACAGGACCCCGCTCCAAAGGAAGGGACCCCCCAGGGCGACCCCACCCAGGGACAGGACCCCCAAAGGGTCAGGACCCCCAAAGGAAGGACACCCCAGGGACCCCCCAAGGGTCAGGACCCCCAAAGGAAGGGACACCCCAGGGACTCCCCCTAAGGGTCAGGACCCTCCGAGGGACAGGACCCCCAAGGGATTAGGGGAATTCCGGGACCCCCTCCCAAGAAGACAGGACCCCCAAATGGGAGGGACCTCCTGAGACGCCCCCTCCCCAAATGGCATCAGGGCATTCCCAGGGACTTCACCCCCACCAGAGGCACAGGACCCCCGCCCCAAAGGGACAGGACCTCCCCCAAGGTACTGAGGATCCCCCAAAGGTACTGAGGACCCTCCCAGGGTCAGGGACCCCCCTGGGACGGACCCCCAAAGGTATCAGGGCATTGTGAGGACCCCGCAAAGGGAGAGACCCCCCAAAAAGGTACTGGGGACCCCCTGGGACCCCCCAAAGGTACTAGGGATCCCCCAAGGTGACTGGGAGCCCCCAGAGGCAGGGACCCCCTGGGACCCCCCAAAAGTATCAGGGCATTGTGGGGACCCCCGAAGAAAGGGAGAACCCCTCCAAAGGTACTGGAGACCCACCTGGGATCCCCCCAAAGGTACTGGGGATCCCCCAAGGGCAGGGACCCCCTGGGACCCCCCAGGGTACTGGGGACCCTCCAAGGGCAGAGACCCACCGAGACCCCCAAGGTACTGGGGACCCCCAAGGGCAGGGACCCCCAAAGGTATCAGGGCATTTTGGGGACCCCCGAAAGGAGAACCCCCCAAAGGTACTGAGGACCCCCAAAGGTACTGGGGACCCCCAAGAGGCAGGACCCCCAAAGGTATCAGGGCATTTGGGACCCCCGAGCACAAGGACCCCCATAAAGGAAGGACACCCCACACCCCTCCCCCGCACAGGTTCTGGGGTCTCCCAAAGGGCCCAACCCCTCCCCCTTCAGCCCCAGAGCCCCCCCAGGGACGCCCCCAAAGGCCAGAACCCCCCCGGGACCCCCTTTTGTGTCCCCCCCAATTAAAGCCCCTCGTTCTGCTCCGGCCTCGCTTTTTGGGGAGGCTCGGGGGCGTGGCTTGGGGAGGGGGCGTGGTTTGGTCTAGACCACGCCCTGAAACGGGTCTCAACCAATGGGATCGCAACGCGAGCCAGCCAATAGCAGCGCGGCTCCCGTTGCCAGGCAACGGGGGCGGGAACACGCCGGGACGCCGTCCTGGTGGCCCCGCCCTCCCCGTGCTAAACAACCAATAGAAATCGAGTTTTACTCTTCTGCGCCCGCCCTCGCGTTGACAGGCAGGGCGCTCAGCCAATAGTAGCGCAGCCCGCCTCAGGAGGAGAGGCGTCGCCCAGTCCCAGCACTAACCAATGATCGCCCGCCTTACACCCCGACCCCGCCCCCGCCGCCCAATCAGCGCCCCGGTTACAAAGCGCGGCTGAGCGGGAGCCCGGGCTGTGGGTGAGGAGGGGGGGGGAAGAAGGCGGGACCCGTTGAAGGCGGGGGGGGGCGAAGCGGATCGCGGCAACCAATGGGGAGCGGCGTTACATCGGCGGGCGGCGGGGCGGGCCAATGGGAGCGCGCGTTACGGCGCGGCGCGGGCCGCGGCCGTGAGGGGGGCGGTGGCGGCCATTTTGATCCCGTGAGGGGCCCGTGAGGGAGGGAGGGGAGGGGGCCGGCCATGGACCCCGGCGGCTGCGGGTGCAGGAGCTGCGGGACGAGCTGGGCCGCCGCGGGCTCGACACGCGCGGGCTGAAGGCGGAGCTGGCCGAGCGGCTGCAGGCGGCGCTGGACGGAGAGGGCGGCCGGAGAGGGGAGGCGGCGCCTGACGGGCGGTGTAAGGGGGTGAGGATGCCGGGGGGGCCGGGGGGGTTGGGGGGGACCCTCGGGGGTCGCGCCGATGGCGGGGGGTGAGGATCGCGCGGAGGGGGCGCGGAGGGCCGAGACCCCCGGGCTTGGCGGGGATGGGATCCCCCGTTACCCTCCGTGTCTGAGGGGCTGGGACCCCCCTCCTGAGGGCCCCAGGACCCCCGTTACCCTCCGTGTCTGAGGGGCTGGGACCCCTATCCCTGAGGGCCCTAGGACCCCCCGTTACCCTCCGTGTCTGAGGGGCTGGGACCCCCCTCCCTGAGGGGCCCCGGGACCCCCCGTTACCCTCCGTGTCTGAGGGGCTGGGACCCCCATCCCTGAGGGGCCTCGGGACCCCCCGTTACCCTCCGTGTCTGAGGGGCTGGGACCCCGTTACCCTCCGTGTCTGAGGGCTGGGACCCCCTCCTGAGGCCAGGACCCCGTTACCCTCCGTGTATGAGGGGCTGGGACCCCCCATCCCTGAGGGGCCTCGGGACCCCCCGTTACCCTCCGTGTATGAGGGGCTGGGACCCCCCGTTACCCTCCGTGTCTGAGGGGCTGGGACCCCCTTCCCTGAGGGCCTCAGGACCCCCGTTACTCTCCATGTCTGAGGGGCTGGGACCCCCCGTTACCCTCCGTGTCTGAGGGGCTGGGACGCCCCGCGACGCCCAACCCTGAGGGTCCTGGGACTCTCTCGGGTCTCCCTCCATCCCTGGGTTTCCTGGGACTCCCCATATCCCCCAGGATCCCCCATCCCTGAGGTTCCTGGGATCCCTTAGATCCCCCATCCCTGAGGATTCTGGGACTCCCCTTCATTTCCTACACTCCTGAGGGGGCTGGGACCCCCATTTCCCCTGGATCCCCCATCCCTGAAAGTCCCTGGGACCCCCTCGGGTCTCCCCCCATCCCTGAGGGTCCTGGGACCCCCCATTCCCCCCTGGATCCCCCATCCCTGAGGGTCGTGGGACCCCCATTCCCAAGGATCCCCAATCCCTGAGGGTCCCTGGGAGCTCCCCATTCCCAAGGATCCCCCATCCCTGAGGGTCCCTGGGATCCCCTCGGGTCTCCCCCCCATCCCTGGGGGTCCTGGGACCCCCCCATTCCCACAGATCCCCCATCCCTGAGCATCCTGGGACCCCCACATGTCCTCCCCCGTCCCTGAGACCCCCTGGGACCCCTCATTTCTCCACGTATCCCCCTTTCTCCTCCATTCCTGGGTGTCCTGGGACCCCCCCTTCCCCAGGATCTCCCATCCCTAAGGGTCCTGGGACCCCCCCTTCCCAAGGATCCCCCATCCCTGAGGGTCCTGGGACCCCCCATTCCCGCTGGATCCCCGATCCCTGAGACCCCCTGGGATCCCCCATTTCCCCATGTCCCCCCATTTCTCCTCCATCCCTGAGGGTCCTGGGACTCCTCCATGTCCCCACCCCATCCCTGAGGGTCCTGGGACCCCTTCATGGTCCCACCTCATCCCTGAGGCTCCTGGGACCCCCAATTCCTCCCTGTGTCCCCTCATGTCCCCCCCCCATCCCTGAGGGTCCTGGGACCCCTTCGTGTTCCCCCTCCATCCCTGAGGCTCCTGGGACCCCTTCATGTTCCCCCCCATCCCTGAGGGTCCTGGGACCCCCCCATGTCCTTCCTCATCCCTGAGATCCCCTGGGACCCCTTATTTTCCCCCTAATCCGGAGTGGGGGGGGATTAAAACCCCACATTTTGAGACCGTTCCTTGCCCAAATTCTCATTTTCTTCCCCCCTGATTTCCCAGACGGCCTCGACAACCACAACACGGACCCCCAGAGCCACCACCAGGACCTCCAGGGCCACCACCAGGACCCCCAGGGCCACTACCAGGACCTCCAGGGCCCCCCCCAGGGCTACGAGCAGGGGGGGCGAGACCCCGAGGCCGAGCCCGGCTACGAGAGGAGACCCCTGGAGCAGGAACCCCCCCTAGTGCTGCCCCCAGGTAGGGAAGGGGTGTTTGGGGGGGTCTTTGGAGGGGTCTCTGGGCAGGAACCCCCCCCCCTTGATGCTCCCAGTGGGGTTGGGGGGGGGTCTCTGGGATGTGTTTGGGGGATCTCTGAACAGGAACCCCCCCACCCTACCCCAGAGGTGCTTGGGGGGGTCTCTGAGGGGGTGATTGGGGGGTCTCTGAACAGGAACCCCCCTGTCCTGTCCCAGGGGGTCTCGGGGGGGTCGCTGGGTGGGGATCTCTGAACAGAAATCCTCCTATCCTGTCCCAGGAGGTCTCGGGGGGCTCTCTGGGAGGGTTTCTGAACAGGAACCCCCCTATCCTCTCCCAGGGGGTCTCGGGGGGTCTCTGGGAGGGTCTCTGAACAGGAATCCCCTGTCCTGCCCCAGGGGGTCACAGGGGTGTCTGGGGGTGTGATTTGGGGGTCTCTGAATAGGAGCCCCCCCATCCTGCCCCAAATGGTCTCTGGAGGGGTCTCTCAACAAGAACCCCCCCGTCCTGCCCCAGGGGGACTCAGGTGGTCTCTGGGGGGGGTCTCTCAACAAGAACCCCCCCATCCTTGCCCCAGGGGGGCTCAGGGTGGTTTCTGGGGGGGGTCTCTCAACAAGAACCCCCCCATCCTTGCCCCAGGTGGGCTCAGGGTGGTCTCTGGGGGTGGTCTCTCAACAAGACCCCCCTGTCCTGCCCTGGGGTGCTTGGGGGGTCTCTGGGTGGGGGTCTCCAGCCCCTCTCTCACCATTCCCCCTCCTCTCTCCACCCCCCCAGAGATGAAGCTGCCGGAGCGAAGGCCGACGACCCCCACGCCCCCTGCCCCGTCCCCCACCTACAGCGCCCCCCTTCACCTCCCCCGCCCCCCACCTTCACCGCTCCCCCCGGCCGGTTGCAGGCTCCCCTCCCCACCGGCTACCCGGCCCCCCCACCTACAGCGCTCCCTCCCCAAATTACAGCGCCCCTCCCCCACCTACAGCGCCCTCCCCCAAACTACGGCGCCCTCCCCCAAGCTACGGCCTCCCCCAGCTACAGCTCCCCCAGCTACAGCGCCCCTCCCCACCTTCAGCGCCCCGGGCCCCCTACAGCACCCCGGGGCGGCCGGGCCCAGACCCCTCCCGGCCCCCAGCCCCGCAAGAGACCCTACGAGGCCGCGGGGAGGGGCTACTACGAGCACCGCGAGGACAAGAGGTGAGCCCCTGACCCCCAGCACGATTTGGAGGGCTGACCCCCCAGCACGATTTGGGGGCTGACACCCCAGCATGATTTGGGGGCTGGGCCTGATCCTCCCCCAGCACGATTTGGGGGGGCTGACCCCCCCCAGCACGATTTGGGGGGGCTGAGCCAGTGACCCCCTCCCGGCACAATTTGGGGGGGCTGAGCCACTGACCCCCAGCACGATTTGGGGAGGCTGAGCCCCTGATCCCCCAGCACGATTTGGGGCTGAGCCAGCCCCCCTCCAGCACAATTTGGGGGCTGACCCCCAGCACATTGGGGGTTGAGCTGCTGACCCCCATGGCACGATTTGGGGGGGCTGAGCCACTGACCCCCCCCCAGCACAATTTGGGGGGGCTGACCCCCGATTTGGGGGGCTGACACGCCCCACCTGGTTTGGGTTCTGACAGCCCCCAGTTTGGGGTTCTGATTCCCTTCTAACTGGAGGGGTCTGACACCCTCAGTTTGGGTTCTGACACCCCCAGTTTGGAATTCTGATCCCTCCGATTGGGGGTTCTGTCACCTTCCAGTTTGGGGTTCTGACCCCCCCCACTTTGGGATTCTGGGCCCCCCCACCCCGCCAGTTTGGGGCTCTGACCCCTCCCCCAATTTGGGGCTCTGATCCCCCCAAGTTTGGGTTCTGACCCCACCCAGTTTGGGATTCTGACCCCTCCCCCCCAATTTGGCGCTCTGACCTCCCCCAATTTGGCCTCTGAGCCCCCCAAGTTTGAGATTCTGACCCCCCCAGTTTGGTCTCTGACACTTCCCAATTTCGGACTCTGACTCTCCCAGTTTGGTCTCTGACATCCCCCACTTTGATGCTCTGACCCCCATTTTGTGCCCTGACCCCCCAAATTCAGTCTCTGCCCCCCCAGATTCATTCCTTACCCCCCTAAATTCAGTCTCTGCCCCCCCACTTCACTCCCTGCCCCCTAAATTCAGTCCCTGCCCCCCAGTTGGGTCCCTGCCCCTCAAATTCAGTCCCTGCCCCCAAATTCATGCTTTGACCTCCCAAATTCAGTCCCTGCCCCCAAATTCAGTCCCTGCCCCCAGTTGGGTCCCTGCCCCCTCAAATTCAGTCCCTGCCCCCAAATTCAGTCCCTGCCCCCCAGTTGGGTCCCTGCCCCCCAAATTCAGTCCCTGCCCCCAGTTGGGTCCCTACCCCCAAATTCAGTCCCTCCCCCCCAGTGGGGTCCCTGCCCCCCCAGCTGAGTCTGTGCCCCCCCAGGGGCCGTTCCCCACAGCCCCCGGCCGAGGAGGAGGAGGAGGATTTCGATGACTCCCTGGTGGCCGTGGACACCTGTGAGTGTTTGTCACCTCCCCGTGTCACCTGTCACCCCCTGTGTCACCTGTGAGTGCCTGTGACCCCCCTGTGTCCCCTGGGACCCCCCCGTGTCACCTGTGAGTACCTGTCCCATGTCACCTGTGACCCCCTCGTGGCCCCTGGGACTGCCCTGGTATCACCTGTCACCCCCCCTGTCACACCCCTGACGTCACTTGTCACCCCCCTTGGTGTTATGTGTCACCCCCCTCCCCCCGTCCTTGTCGTCTGTGACCCCCTCGATGTTCCCTGTTCCCCCCTGGTGTCCTCTGTGTCCCCCTGTGACCCTGCTGTGCTGTGTGTCTCCAGACAACAGTGCTCCCCAGGTGTTCCCTGTCCCCCCCAGTGTCCCCTGTCCCCCCCAGGTGTCCTAGGTGACCCCTGTGTACTGTGTGTCCCCAGACAACTGTGACCCCCAGTGTCCCCTGTGCCCCCCAGGTGTCCCCTGGGTGACCCCTGTGCGCTGTGTGTCCCCAGACAACTGTTCCCCCAGGTGTCCCCTGTCCCTCCCAGGTGTCCCCTGTCCCCCCAGGTGTCCCCTGGGTGACCCCTGTGCGCTGTGTGTCCCCAGACAACTGTTCCCCCAGGTGTCCCCTGTGCCCCCCCAGGTGTCCCCTGTCCCCCCAGGTGTCCCCTGTGCCCCCAGGTGTCCCCCAGGTGTCCCCTGTCCCCCAGGTGTCCGCTGTTCCCCCAGGTGTCCCCAGTCCCCAGGTGTCCCTGGCCCCTGTAGCTATGTGTCCCCGACAGTGCTGTCCCCAGGTGTCCCCTGTCCCCCAGGTGTCCCCTGTGTCCCCTGGGTGACCCCCTGTGCCCTGTGTGTCCCCAGACAACTGTTCCCCCAGGTGTCCCCTGTGTCCCCCCAGGTGTCCCCTGTGCCCCCCAGGTGTCCCCTGGGTGACCCCTGTGCGCTGTGTGTCCCCAGACAACTGTTCCCCCAGGTGTCCCCTGTGCTCCCCAGGTGTCCCCTGTGCCCCCCAGGTGTCCCCTGGGTGACCCCTGTGCACTGTGTGTCCCCAGACAACTGTGCCCCCAGGTGTCCCCTGTCCCTCCCAGGTGTCCCCTGTCCCTCCCAGGTGTTCCCTGTCCCCCCAGGTGTCCCCTGTCCCCCCGGTGTCCCCTGGGTGACCCCTGTGCGCTGTGTGTCCCCAGACAACTGTGACCTGCACTTCAAGGTGGCGCGGGACCGGTACAGCGGCTACCCCCTGACCATCGAGGGCTTCGCCTACCTCTGGTCCGGGGCCAGGGCCACCTACGGGGCACGGCAGGGACGTGTGTGCTTTGAGATGAAGGTGAGAGGGGACAGGCAGGGGACACAGGGACAGGGGACACAGGGACAGGGGACACAGACAGGGCCACCTACGGGGCACGCCAGGGACGCGTCTGCTTCGAGATGAAGGTGAGGGGACACAGGGACACGGACACAGGGGACACAGGGACAGGGGACACAGGGACAGGGGACACAGACAGGGCCACCTACGGGGCACGGCAGGGACGCGTCTGCTTCGAGATGAAGGTGAGAGGGGGACAGGGGACACAGGGGACACACACGGGGACAGGGGACACTGACACAGGGGACACAGGGACAGGGGACACTGACAGGGCCACCTACGGGGCACGGCAGGGACGCGTCTGCTTCGAGATGAAGGTGGGAGGGGACACAGGGGACACTGACACAGGGGACACAGGGACAGGGGACACCTGCGGGGCACGGCAGGGACGCGTCTGCTTCGAGATGAAGGTGAGAGGCGGACACGGACACAGACAGGGACGGGACACAGGGGACACTGACACAGGGGACACAGGGGACACAGACAGGGGACACACAGAGGACCACCTACGGGGCACAGCAGGGACGCGTCTGCTTCGAGATGAAGGTGAGAGGAGACACAGGGGACACACACAGGGGACACTGACACAGGGGACACAGACACAGGGTACACTGACACAGGAGACACAGGGACAGGGGACACAGGGACAGGGGACACAGACATAGGGGACACTGACAGGGCCACCTACGGGGCACGGCAGGGACAGGTCTGCTTTGAGATGAAGGTGAGAGGAGACACAGGGGACATTGATACAGGGGACACAGACAGGGGACACACACAGGGCCACCTACGGGGCACGCCAGGGATGGGTCTGCTTCGAGATGAAGGTGAGAGGGGACAGGGACAGGGGACACTGACACAGGGGAGACTGACAGGGACAGGGGACACAGGGACACCTAGAGGGCTCGCCAGGGACGGGTCTGCTTCGAGATGAAGGTGAGGGGACACACAGGGGACACAGACAAGGACAGGGGACACTGACACAGGGGACACTGACACAGGGGACACAGAGGACACAGGGCTACCTACGTGGCATGGCAGGGAGGTGTCTGCTTCGAGATGAAGGTGAGAGGGGACACAGGGGACACAGACAAGGACAGGGGACACTGACAGGGACAGGGACACAGACGGGACAGATCCTGGTGACTTTGTTGTGTCCTGGTGACAGTGGCAGGTCATGGTGACAGGTGGTGGTTTTTGGTGCCAGATCCCACTGAGAGGTGACAGGGGACAGTGACACGTGACAGGTGTTGGTGACAGGTCCCAGTGACAGTGATGGGTCTCAGTAACAATGACAGGTCTCAGTAACAGTGACAGGTCTCAGTAACAATGACAGGTCTCAGTGACAGTGACAGGTCCAGGACATTGGGTCTCAGTGACAGTGACGGTACAGTGACAGTGACAGGTCTCAGTAACAGTGACGGGTCTAGTGACAATGACAGGTCTCAGTGACAGTGACAGGTCTCAGTGACAGTGATGGGTCTCAGTGACAGTGACGGGTATCAGTGACAGTGACAGGTTTCAGTGACAGTGACGGGTCTCAGTGACAATGATGGGTCTCAGTGACAGTGACGGGTCCCAGTGACAGTGATGGGTTTCAGTGACAATGACAGGTTTTAGTGATAGTGATGGGGCTCAGTAACAATGATAGGTCTTGGTGACAGGCCTTAGTGACAGTGATGGGTCTCAGTAACAGTGACAGGTCTCAGTGACAGTGAGGGGTCTCAGTGACAATGACGGGTCACAGTGACAATGACAGGTCTCAGTGACAGTCAGGGGTCCCAGTGACAGCTGACAGGTTCTGGTGACAGTGATGGGTCACAGTGACAATGACGGGTCTCAGTCAGGGGTCCCAGTAACAGCTGACAGGTTCTGGTGACAGCAATGGGTCACAGTGACAATAACAGGTCTCAGTGACAGTCAGGGGTCCCAGTGACAGCTGACAGGTTCTGGTGACAGTGGTGGGTCACAGTGACAATAACGGGTCCCAGTGACAATAACGGGTCCCAGTGGCAGGTTCTGGTGACAGCGATGGGTCACAGTGACAGTAACGGGTCATAGTGACAGTCAGGGGTCCCAGTGACAGCTGACAGGTTCTGGTGACAGTGGTGGGTCACAGTGACAGTGACGGGTCACAGTGACAGTTGACAGGTTCTGGTGACAGCGATGGGTCTCAGTGACAGTGAGGGGTCCCAGTGACAGCTGACAGGTTCTGGTGACAGTGGTGGGTCACAGTGACAATAATAGGTCCCAGTGACAGGTTCTGGTGACAGTGATGGGTCACAGTGACAATAATAGGTCCCAGTGACAGGTTCTGGTGACAGTGATGGGTCACAGTGACAGTTAGGGGTCCCAGTGACAGCTGACAGGTTTGGTGACAGCGGTGGGTCCCAGTGACAATAACCCCATGCCCCCCGTGCAGGTGAACGAGGAGATCTCGGTGAAGCACCTGCCCTCGTCGGAGCCCGACCCGCACGTCGTGCGCGTGGGGTGGTCCCTGGACTCCTGCAGCACCCAGCTGGGTAAGGGGGGGCTCCTGCAGCACCCAACTGGGTAAGAGGGGGTTCTGGGGTGGTCCCTGGACTCCTGCAGCACCCAGCTGGGTAAGGGGGGGTCCCTGCAGCACCCAGCTGGGTAAGGGGGGCTCCTGCAGCACCCAGCTGGGTAAGGGGGGGTTCTGGGGGGGTCCCTGAGCACCCAGCTGGGTAAGGGGGGCTCCTGCAGCACCCAGCTGGGTAAGGGGGGGTTCTGAGGGGGTCCCTGGACTCCTGCAGCACCCAGCTGGGTAAGAGGGGGGCTCTTGCAGCACTCAGCTGGGTAAGGGGTTCTGGGGTCCCTGGACTCCTGCAGCACCCAGCTGGGTAAGGGGGGGTTCTGGGGGGTCCCTGGACTCCTGAGCACCCAGCTGGGTAAGGGGGGCTCCTGCAGCACCCAGCTGGGTAAGGGGGGGTTCCTGCAGCACCCAGCTGGGTAAGGGGGGCTCCTGCAGCACCCAGCTGGGTAAGGGGGGTTCTGGGGGGGCTCCAGCCCATGGCAGTGTGTACCCCCCAGGAGAGGAGCCCTTCTCCTACGGCTACGGCGGCACCGGCAAGAAATCGACCAACTGCAAGTTCGAGAGCTACGGGGAGCCCTTCGCTGAGAACGACGTCATCGCCTGCCTGGCGGTGGGTGGGGGAAAGGGGGGCCCTGGGACCCCTTTATGGACCCCCTGCATGGCCTGGGGGGTGCTGGGACACATCCTGGGGGACCTGTGGGGTGCTGGGACACATCCTGGTTGTCCTGTGGGGTGCTGGGACCTGTCCTGGGTGTCCTGGGGGGCTCTGGGACCTGTCCTGGGGTGTCCTGGGGGGCTCTGGGATCTGTCCTGGGTGTGCTGGGGGGCTCTGGGACCGGTCCTGGGTGTCCTGTGGGGCTCTGGGACCGGTCCTGGGTGTCCTGTGGGGCACTGGCATCTGTCCTGGGTGTCCTGGGGGGTGCTGGGATCTGTCCTGGGGGGTGCTGGGACACATCCTGGGTGTCCTGGGGGTACTGGGACCCGTCCTGGGGGGCTCTGGGACACATCCTGGGTGTCCTGGGGGGGCTCTGGGACCCGTCCTGGGTGTCCTGGGGGGCTCTGGGACCCGTCCTGGGTGTCCTGTGGGGTACTGGGATCTGTCCTGGGTGTCCTGGGGGGGCTCTGGGACCTGTTCTGGGTGTCCTGGGGGGCTCTGGGATCCATCCTGGGTGTCCTGTGGGGTACTGGGATCTGTCCTGGGTGTCCTGGGGGGCTCTGGGACCTGTTCTGGGTGTCCTGCAGGGGGACCCCTCCTGGGGGACGTTCTGGAGCTCCGTTGTGTCCTTTAGAGTCCCTGTCCCTGTGCCCCATCCTGTCCCTCTCCCACTGTCCCTGTGCCCCATCCTGTCCCCCTCCCACTGTCCCTGTGCCCCATCCCGTCCCCCTCCCACTGTCCCTGTCCCCCTCCCACTGTCCCTGTCCCCCTCCCACTGTCCCTGTGCCCCATCCTGTCCCCTCCCACTGTCCCTGTCCCTCCCACTGTCCCTGTGCCCCATCCTGTCCCCCTCCCCTGTCCCTGTGCCCCATCCTGTCCCCTCCCACTGTCCCTGTGCCCCATCCTGTCCCCCTCCCACTGTCCCTGTCTCCCTCCCACTGTCCCTGTGCCCCATCCTGTCCCACTGTCCCCATGCCCTGTTGTCCCCAGGGGGATGGTCTGATGGTGTCCCCACTGTCCCCCTGCCCTGCTGTCCCCAGGGGGATGGTCTGATGGTGTCCCCACTGTCCCCATGCCCTGCTGTCCCCACAGTGGGTGATGGCTGATGGTGTCCCCGCTGTCCCTGTGCCCCATCCTGTCCCACTGTCCCCGTCCCTGCTGTCCCCGGGGGGTGGATGTCTGATGTTGTTCCCCCTGTCCCCACGGTGGATGTGACATTGTCCCCCCTGTCCCCATGGGGTGGATCTGTCCCTGTTCCCCTGTCCCCACGGTGGATGTGACATTGTCCCCCTGTCCCTGTCCCCCCTGTCCCCACGGTGGATGTGACATTGTCCCCCTGTCCCTGTCCCCCCTGTCCCCACGGTGGATGTGACATTGTCCCCCTGTCCCTGTCCCCTCTGTCCCCACGGTGGATGTGACATTGTCCCCCTGTCCCTGTCCCCCCTGTCCCCACGGTGGATGTGACATTGTCCCCCTGTCCCTGTCCCCTCTGTCCCCACGGTGGATGTGACGTTGTCCCCCCTGTCCCCATGGTGGATGTGACATTGTCCCCCTGTCCCCATGGGGTGGATCTGATGTTGTTCCCCTGTCCCCACGGTGGATGTGACATTGTCCCCCTGTCCCCATGGGGTGGATCTGATGTTGTTCCCCTGTCCCCACGGTGGATGTGACGTTGTCCCCCTGTCCCCATGGTGGATGTGACGTTGTCCCCTGCTATCCCCACGGTGGATGTGACGTTGTCCCCCTGTCCCTGTCCCCCCTGTCCCCACGGTGGACGTGACGTTGTCCCCCTGTCCCCACGGTGGATGTGACGTCCCCACGGTGGATGTGACGTTGTCCCCTCTGTCCCTGTCCCCATGGTGGATGTGACGTTGTCCCCCTGTCCCTGTCCCCCTTGTCCCCACGGTGGACGTGACGTTGTCCCCACGGTGGATGTGACATTGTCCCCCCTGTCCCCACGGTGGACGTGACGTTGTCCCCACGGTGGATGTGACATTGTTCCCCTGTCCCCACGGTGGATGTGACGTTGTCCCCACGGTGGATGTGACATTGTCCCCGCTGTCCCCACGGTGGACGTGACGTTGTCCCCCCGTCCCCGGCAGGACTTCGAGTGCGGGGAGGAGGTGGAGCTGTCGTTCCTCAAGAACGGCCAGTGGCTGGGGGTGGCCTTCAGGGTGCCCAAGGAGGCCCTGGGGGGCCGGGCCCTGTTCCCCCACGTGCTGGTGAAGAACTGCGCCGTGGAGTTCAACTTCGGGCAGCGCCAGGAGCCCTTCTGTGCCCTGCCCCCTGGCTTCACCCCCATCCAGCACCTGCCCCTGGGGCAGCGCCTGCGGGGCACGCTGGGCCCCAAGAGCAAGGCTGAGTGTGAGGTGAGGGATTGGGGGGATTTGGGGGGGTTTGGGGTGACCCTGTGCCCTCCCCCCTGGCTTCACCCCCATCCAGCACCTGCCCCTGGGGCAGCGCCTGCGGGGCACCCTGGGCCCCAAGAGCAAGGCTGAGTGTGAGGTGAGGGATTGGGGGGATTTGGGGGGGTTTGGGGTCACCCTGTGCCCTCCCCCCTGGCTTCACCCCCATCCAGCACCTGCCCCTGGGGCAGCGCCTGCGGGGCACCCTGGGCCCCAAGAGCAAGGCTGAGTGTGAGGTGAGGGCTTTGGGGGAAAACTGGGGGGATTTGGGGTCACCCTGGGGCTGGGGGGACACCCTGGGGTCACCCTGGGCCCCAAGAGCAAGGCTGAGTGTGAGGTGAGGGATGTGGGGGGGCTTTGGGGAGGATTTGGGGGCTCTGGGGTCACCCTGGTCCCCAAGAGCAAGGCTGAGTGTGAGGTGAGGGCTTTGGGGGGATTTGGGGTCACCCTGGGGCTGGGGGGACATCCTGGGGTCACCCTGGGCCCCAAGAGCAAGGTTGAGTGTGAGGTGAGGGGTTTGGGGTCACCCTGGGGCCCAAGAGCAAGGCTGAGTGTGAGGTGAGGGGTTTGGGGGTGGTTTGGGATTTGGGGTCGCCCTGGGGCCCAAGAGCAGTGACACAGTGATGGTGACACTGGGGAGTGCAGGGTGATCAGTGACACATGTCCTCTGTCCCCTGTCCCCAGATCCTGATGATGGTGGGGTGACACAGGCACAGCTGTGACCCCAAGGAGTGCAGGGTGATCAGTGACGAGTGTGCGGGGGGCCCTGAGGTCCTCTGAGGGTCATCCTGGGCCCTAAGAGCAAGGCTGAGTGTGAGGTGAGAGGTGTGGGGGTCTTTGAGGAGCTTTGGGGTCACCCTGTGCCCTCCCCCCTGGCTTCACCCCCATCCAGCACCTGCCCCTGGGGCAGCCCTGGGGCACCCTGTGCCCCAGATCATGATGGCTGGTGGTGAGGTGCAGGGACAGCTGTGATGGGGCTTGGAGGTGGATCTGGGTCACCTGGGTCCCAATGAGCAGTGACACAGTGATGGTGACACTGGGGGGTACAGGGTGTCCCAGTGACACATGTCCTCTGTCCCCAATGTCCCCAGATCCTGATGATGGTGGGGTGACACAGGGACAGCTGTGACCCCAAGGGGTGCACTGGGGTCGCAGTACAGTGACATGCCTGTCCCCTGTCCCCAGATCCTGATGATGGTGGGGTGACACAGGGACAGCTGTGACCCCAAGGAGTGCAGGGTGATCAGTGACAGTGTCCCCTGTGTCCCCAATGTCCCTAATGTCCCCAGATCCTGATGATGGTGGGGTGACACAGGGACAGCTGTAACACTGAGGGTGCTCTGGTCTGTCCCAGTGAGTGTCACATGTCCCCAATGTCCCCTGTGTCCCCAATGTCCCCAGATCCTGATGATGGTGGGGTGACACAGGGACAGCTGTGACACTGAGGGGTGCAGGGTGATCAGTGTCACATGTCCCCAATGTCCCCAGATCCTGATGATGGTGGGGTGACACGGGGACAGCTGTGATGCTAAGGGTGCCCTGGGGGGTCCCAGTGACAGTGTCACATGTCCCCAATGTCCCCTGTCCCCAGATCCTGATGATGGTGGGGTGACACAGGGACAGCTGTGACACTGAGGGGTGCAGGGTGATCAGTGTCACATGTCCCCAATGTCCCCAGATCCTGATGATGGTGGGGTGACACAGGGACAGCTATGACCCCAAGGAGTGCAGGGTGATCAGTGACAGTGTCCCCTGTGTCCCCAGTGTCCCCTGTCCCCAGATCCTGATGATGGTGGGGTGACACAGGGACAGCTGTGACACTGAGGGGTGCAGGGTGATCAGTGTCACATGTCCCCAATGTCCCCTGTCCCCAGATGCTGATGATGGTGGGGTGGCACAGGGACAGCTGTGACACTGAGGGTGCCTGGGCTGTTCCAGTGAGTGTCACATGTCCCTTGTCCCCAGATCCTGATGATGGTGGGGTGACACAGGGACAGCTGTGACACTGAGGTGCCCTGGGCTGTTCCAGTGACAGTGTCACATGTCCCCTGTCCCCAGATCCTGATGATGGTGGGGTGACACAGGGACAGCTGTGACCCCAAGGAGTGCAGGGTGATCAGTGACAGTGTCACATGTCCCCTGTGTCCCCAGATCCTGATGATGGTGGGGTGGCACAGGGACAGCTGTGACACTGAGGGTGCCCTGGGCTGTCCCAATGACAGTGTCACATGTCCCCAATGTCCCCAGATCCTGATGATGGTGGGCCTCCCTGCCGCGGGCAAGACGACGTGGGCCGTCAAACACGCGGCCGCCAACCCGTCCAAGAAGTACAACATCCTGGGCACCAACGCTATCATGGACAAGATGAGGGTACGGCCGCCCCCCTGGGGGTCCCCGAGGTGTCCCCAGGCCCGGCTGAACCCCCCTCACGTCCCCCCTGTCCCCCCAAAGGTGATGGGGCTGCGGCGGCAGCGAAACTACGCGGGCAGGTGGGACGTGCTGATCCAGCAGGCGACGCAGTGCCTGAACCGCCTGATCCAGATCGCAGCGCGCAAACGCCGCAACTACATCCTCGACCAGGTGAGTGGGGGGCTTTGGGGACATCCTGGGGGCTCTGGGGGGCTTTGGGGGCATGTCAGGGTCATCAGGACCACGCAGTGCCTGAACCGCCTGATCCAGATCGCAGCGCGCAAACGCCGCAACTACATCCTCGACCAGGTGGGTGGGGGCTCTGGGGGCTCTGGGACATGGGGCTTGGGGTGTCAGGTGAGAGCTGAACCTGATCCAGATCAGCAAAACGCCCCACATCCTCGACCAGGTGGGTGGGGGCTTTGGGGGCTCTGGGGCCTGGGGCATCCTGGTTCTGGGGGCTTTGGGGGCATCCGGGGGTGTCAGAGGCACTGGGGTGCCAGTGAGCCGTGCCTGAACACCTGATCCAGATCGCATGCGCGAAAGCGCCGCAACTACATCCTCGACCAGGTGGGTGGGGGCTTTGGGGGCTCTGGGGGGCTCTGGGGCTTGGGACGTCCCGCAGTGCCTGAAACGTGTCAGGTCAGCAGCGCTAAGCCGAACCATCCTGACCAGGTCGCAGCGGAGTGGGGCTTTGGGGGCTCTAGGGACATCCTGGGGACCCTGGGGGGCTCTGGGGGCTCTGGGGTGTCAGGGTCAGCAGTGCCTGAACCACCTGATCCAGATCGCAGCGCGCAAACGCCGCAACTACATCCTCGACCAGGTGGGTGGGGGGCTTGGGGGCTTGGGGGCTCTGGGGACATCCTGGGGGCTTTGGGGACATCCTGGGGGCGTCTGGGGCTCTGGGGGTGTCAGGGTCAGCAGTGCCTGGACCACCTGATCCAGATCGCAGCACCAGGTGGGTGGGGGCTGGGACATCCAGGGGGCTCTGGGGGGCTTTGGGGACATCCTAGGGGCTCTGGGGACATCCTGGGGGGCTTTGGGGGGGTGTCAGGGTGAGCAGTGCCTGAACCGCCTGATCCAGATCGCAGCGCGCAAACGCCGCAACTACATCCTCGACCAGGTGGGTGAGGGGCTTTGGGGGGCTCTGGGGGGCTCTGGGGACATCCTGGGGGGCTCTGGGGGCTGTCAGGGTCAGCAGGCCATGTAGGGCCTGAACCAACTCATCCGGATCGTAGCCAGGAAATGCCGCAACTACACCCTCGACCAGGTGGGGAGGGGACTCTGAGGGGCTTTGGGGGCATCCTGGGGGCACTGGGGGCACTTGTGGGACAGCCTCCACTGCCTTCCCAGTCTCTGCTCCTCATCCTGGACATGTCCCAGTGTCCCTGTCCCCCATCCTGGACCTCCCCATGTCTCTGCCCCTCATCCTGGACATGTCCCGGTGTCCCTGTCCCCCATCCTGGACATCTCCCATATCCCTGTCCCCAATCCTGGACATCTCCCATATCCCTGTCCCCCATCCTGGACTTCCCCCATATCCCTGTCCCCCATCCTGGACTTCCCCCATGTCCCTGTCCCCCATCCTGGACTTCCCCCATGTCCCTGTCCCCCATCCTGGACTTCCCCCATATCCCTGTCCCCCATCCTGGACTTCTCCCATGTCCCTGTCCCCCATCCTGGACCTCCCCATGTCCCTGTCCCCCATCCTGGACCTCCCCATGTCCCTGTCCTCCATCCTGGACATCTCCCATATCCCTGTCCCCAATCCTGGACATCTCCCATGTCCCTATTCCCCATCCTGGACTTCTTCCAATGTCCCTGTCCCCCATCGTGGACATCTCCCATGTCCCTGTCCCCCATCCTGGACATCTCCCATGTCCCTGTCCCCCATCCTGGACATCTCCCATGTCCCTGTCCCCAATCCTGGACATCTCCCATATCCCTATTCCCCATCCTGGACTTCTTCCAATGTCCCTGTCCCCCATCGTGGACATCTCCCATATCCCTGTCCCCCATCGTGGACATCTCCCATATCCCTGTCCCCCATCCTGGACATCTCCCATGTCCCTGTCCCTCATCCTGGACATGTCCCAGTGTCCTTGTCCCCAATCCTGGACTTCCCCCATGTCCCTGTTCCCTATCCTGGACCTCCCCATGTCCCTGTCCCCCATCCTGGACATGTCCCATGTCCCTGTCCCCCATCCTGGACTTCCCCCATGTCCCTGTCCCCCATCCTGGACTTCCCCCACATCCCTGTCCCCCATCCTGGACATCTCCTATGTCCCTGTCCCCCATCCTGGACATCTCCTATGTCCCTGTCCCTCATCCTGGACATCTCCCATATCCCTGTCCCTCATCCTGGACCTCCCCCATATCCCTGTCCCCCATCCTGGACATCTCCCATATCCCTGTCCCCCATCCTGGACATCTCCCATGTCCCTGTCCCCCATCCTGGACATCCCCCATGTCCCTGTCCCCCATCCTGGACATCTCCCATGTCCCTGTCCCCCATCCTGGATGTGTCCCTGTCCCCCAGTCCTGCCCCTCCCCAGGAAACCCCTCCCTAAACACCACTTTTAACCCATTTCCCCCCTTTTTTCCCCCAAATCCCCGCCCAGACCAACGTGTACGGCTCCGCCCAGCGCCGAAAAATGCGTCCCTTCGAGGGCTTCCAGCGCAAGGCCATCGTCATCTGCCCCACCGACCAGGAGCTGCGGCAGCGCACGGTGCGCAGAACCGACGAGGAGGGCAAGGACGTGCCTGACCACGCCGTGCTCGAGATGAAAGGTGGGGAAAACGTGGGAATTTGGGGGAAAAACACCGGGATTCTGGGCAAAAACACCCAGATTTGGGGTGAAAAACACCAGGATTTGGGGTGGGAATGGAGGACTGGGGGGGATCTGCCCCATGTGCACCCACGAGGAGGGCAAGGACGTGCCCGACCACGCCGTACTCGAGATGAAAGGTGGGGAAAAATGGGAATTCTGGGGGAATTCTGGGCAAAAACACCCGGATTTGGGGTGAAAAACCCCGGGATTGGGGGTGGGAATGGAGGACTGGGGGGGATCTGCCCCATGGGCACTGATGGGGAGGGCAAGGATGTGCCCGACCACACCGTGCTCGAGATGAAAGGTGGGGAAAAATGGGAATTCTGGGGAAAAACACCGGGATTTGAGGCAAAAACCCCGGGATGTGGGGTGAAAAACCAGGATTTGGGGTGGGAATGGAGGACTGGGGGGGATCTGCACCCACGAGGAGGGCAAGGACGTGCCCGACCACGCCATGCAGGAGATGAAAGGTGGGGAAAAATGGGAATTTGGGGTGAAAAACACGGAATTCTGGGGAAAAACACCCAGATTTGGGGTGAAAAACACCAGGATTGGGGGTGGGAATGGAGCATTGGGGGGGATCTGCCCCATGTGGCACCCACCGAGGAGGGCAAGGACGTGCCCGACCACGCCG